GTATAATTTGGAGTTTAGTATGACGTCCATTATCACTGAACTAGTATACATATTTGTTAAGGGGCCAGCTGAAGGACGCCTCCGGGTGCGGGAGTTTCTCGCTGCATTGAAGACCCATTGGTGGCCTTCGGCTGTTGTCTGCTCTATGGTCGGGTTGTTGTCTCTTTGACACATTCCCCATTTCCATTCTCAATTTTAATTTTACTTGAACACAAGTTATTGTCTGGAAACTAGAAAAATGCTTACTTTTGGCCCCTTAATCCTATAGTTTTGGGCAATTACCCCCAAACTCAATTCCAGCTTTCCCTTTGTGATATGGAACCTTGTAGTACAATTTTAGAAAGATCCATACACTTACACACAAGTTATTATCATGAAACTAGAAAAATGCCTTTTTTTGGCCCATAATTCCTAAAATTTTGCAGCAATTACCCCCAAAATCAATCCCAGCATTCCCTTTGTGATATGGAACCTTGTGGTACAATGTCAGAGAGATCCATACACTAACACACAAGTTATTGTCTGGAAGTTACAAAAATGCTTATGTTTGGCCCCTAATTCCTTAACTGTTGGTACCATAACCCCCAAAATCAAGCCCAACCTTCCTTTTGTGGTATTGAACCTTATGGTAAAATTTCATAGATATCCATTCACTTTAACTAAAGTTATTGTGCAAAAACCAATGTGTCTTCGGACGACGACGACGACTCCAACGTCATACCAATATACTACGGCAAAATTTTTTGCGGTCGTATAAAAATGTGTTGCAATTGCACAATTAAAAATCCTTTCTGTGTGACATAACCATTATGCAATTTTTTTTTTACTAACAAAAATCTAAATTTATTTTGGTGAGCTACAGAGTCATTAAATGGTACTCATTTAAGTTTTCATGACTTTTAGAAGGTATAACCTTCATCTGAATTACTCAATACTTAAAACTTTAGGAAACCAAATGCATGATACTGTTGACACAGAGAAATGTCTCGCATGTATGTAATTTTGATAGAAAACTGCAAATGTTGTTATTAAAACCTCAATACTTTTTACATGTAAACTATGCAAAAATTCCAATGTCAATAGACCATGATTTAGGGGGCCTGCCATATTATCTCCATTGAAATGAGATGTGCCAATGCTGCTACAATTGCATAACAAATACCATTGACTTACCAAGTGGTTCACCTTAAACTGACTTAATCAAAAATTTTATCAAAATTTTGAGGCTGTTGTCGGAAACAGCACTACTAAGTCTAGCTGCTGCCTTTAGGCAAACAAAAATCCTTAGGATAACAGTCAAATCACTTTAAATTGGAATAAATGGAGATGTGAGGTATATATCAATGAGACAGCAAACAAACAACAAAAATTTGACAAAAAGACATCTACAGGGAAGCATAGTCTTACAAAACTAGAGGCTTTAAAGAGCCTGTGTCGCTCACCTTGGTTTGTGTGCATATCAAACAAAGGACACTCTCCAACATTGTAGACGAGAATCGACTTCATGACAAAAATCTCTATTTTGTTGAACTTGTATTACTGATCTTTTAGTCTGTTTAGTTTCTCTCTATCTTCTTTAGTTTTTGCTCAAAACACAAAATACGGTAAAAATAATTCTCATTTAAGAGCAATCACTCCTATGAAGAGTGACAGTCTACTAACTATATCGGCAAAATTTGACTTTTTAATAGATCTTGCCTTGCTGATCATTTTTGTGATTTAAAGTGTTTATTTATCTATTATAATTTAAATCATATAAGGCATAACGGAAAAAAATGTTTCTCTCTAAATATCATAGTTTTCATGATAATAGGCAAAAATGAAAAAAAAAATGGTAAAATTTGTCATTTATGGGCAATAACTCCTATAAAAATTTGTCTAACAGTTTTGACGTATATGGACAATTGGTAGAGCTCATTATTCCGATCATTTTTGCTCCTTTCAGTTTTTCTCTATTTATAACGGTTCAAAAAATAATAGACAAAACTTGCATTTTACCCCTATGTTCTATTTTTAGCCATGTCGGCCATGTTGGTTGGTAGGCGGGGTCATCGGACACATTTTTTAAACTAGATACTCTAATGATGACTGTGGCCAAGTTTGGTTAAATTTGTCTCAGTAGTTTCAGAGGAAAAGATTTTTGTAAAAGATTACAAAATTTTACCAAAAATTGTTAAAAATTGACTTCAAAGGGCAATAACTCTTTATGGGGTCAATTGACAATTTTGGTAATTTTGACTTATTTGTAGATCTTACTTTGCTGAACAATTTTGCTGTTTATCTCTATCTATTATAATATTCAAGATAATAACCAATAAACTGCTTCGTCGAGCGCTGCTGGATACGACTGCAGAGGTCCAACCCGGAACAGTTGGGGCAAAAATGGACACAATATTCAAGCTTGATACAGGTCTGAATTTGGATTGTAATTAATTATTTGACACATTATAGGTTTCTGACACAGAATAAATGTAGCCAAAGAACTTGAAATCGGTTGTATGATTTGAATTTATATTCAATTGAAGATTTCTTGCTGTTGTGCAATACACTGTGCTGTTGCGCAATACTTAGTAAATCTGTTTTCAGACTATATACAAAGAATTAGCAAAAATAAATTGTGACCCACAATTTTTTTCTTTGGAAAATTGACAATTTCTAAAATCTAGAGGAAATAAAAATTGACCCCCCCCCTACACAAAAAAAATAAGAGAATTTTCTTTCGAGGAAAAAAAAATCCCCCCCCCCCCCCAAAAAAAAAAATTTTTGGGTTGTCTGATGCGCTTGAAAATTTCAAAAATTTTAAACTAGATACCCTAAGGTTGATTTAGGCCAAGTTTGGTTTTATTTGGCCCAGTAGTTTCAGAGGAGAAGATTTTTGTAAAAGACGAGGGACGCCAAGTGAGCTAAAAAGACAAGCATCTTAACAATATGTCAATCTTCTGAGTCTATATAAGAAGTGAATTAATTTTAACACAAATAATCAAAGATCAGCAATAAACATCCCATTCTCTTTATTATAAATAAAATGCTCCGCTGGGGCGCAGCTTGATACTACCGCAGAGGTCGAACCCTAAACAGTTGGGGCAAGTATGGACACAACATTCAAGCCTGATACAGCACTGAATTTGGATTGTAATTAAATATTTGACACAGCATAGGTTTCTGACACAGAATGAATGTGGTCTAAGAACTTAAAATTTTTTAATTTACCTATTCAAACTATATCATTATTATTTCCTTTTATATATAAATCAGAAATAACCAATTTAAAATGGAAAATTTTAAAGAAAAAAAAGGAAACCCCCCCCCCCTAATTTTTTGAACCCCCTTATTATTCATCACCCCCAAACTCAAACCCAGCCTTCCCTTTGTGGTATGGTACCTTGCAGTACAATTTCAGAGAGATCCATACACTTGAACACAAGTTATTGTCTGGAAACTAGAAAAATGCTTGTTTTTGGCCCCTTTTTGGCCCCAAATTCCTAAACGTTTAGGGCAATTACCCCCAAACTCAAACCCAGCTTTCCCTTTGTGATATGGAACCTTGCAGTACAGTTTCATAAAGATCCAAACACTTACACACAAGTTATTGTCCTGAAACTAGAAAAAATGCTTGTTTTTTTTGCCCCTTTATGGCCCCTTATTCCTCAAATTTTGAAGGAATTACCCCCAAAATCAATCCCAGCCTTCCCTTTGTGGTATGGTACCTTGCAGTACAATTTCAGAGAGATCCATACACCTGAACACAAGTTATTGTCTAGAAACTAGAAAAATGCTTATTTTTGGCCCCTTTTTGGCCCCTTATTCCTAAACATTTTGGGCAATTACTCCCAAACTCATTTCCAGCTTTCCCTTTGTGATATGGAACCTTGTAGTACAATTTCATAAAGATCCATACACTTACACACAAGTTATTGTCATGAAACTAGAAAAATGCTTGTGTTTTGCCTTTTTGGCCCCTAATTCCTAAAATTTGGAGGCAATTACCCCCCAAATCAATCCCAGCATTCCCTTCGTGATATGGAACCTTGTGGTACAATGTCAGAGATATCCATACACTTACACACAAGTAATGGTCATGAAACTTGAAAAATGCTTGTTTTTGGCCCCTTTTTGGCCCCTTATTCCTAAAATTTACCCCCAACATCAATCCAGCATTCCCTTTGTGATATGGAACCTTGTGGTACAATGTCAGAGAGATCCCTACACTAACACACAAGTTATGTCTGGAGGTTACAAAAATGCTTATTTTTGGCCCCTAATTCCTTTACTGTTGGTACCATAACCCCCAAAATCAATCCCCACCTTCCTTTTGTGATATTGAACCTTATGGTAAAATTTCATAGAGATCCATTCACTTAAACTAAAGTTAGAGTGTGAAAACCAATGTGTCTTCGGACGACGACGACGACGACGCCAACGTCATACTAATATACGACCACAAAATTTTTTTGCGGTTGTATAAAAACATTAAGGTTTGACATACACTGCTACTGATGAGGTTTCAGACTTCACACAGGCACATGAAAATGTGGAAGGTCAAACTATTGGGTTTTTTTATATCTCAACCCTAAGGTTAACTTCACTTGAGGGAATTTCAACAATTTCATAAAATAAACTGTTGACACAGAGATATGTCTAGCCTGTCTGACAATCTGATAGACAGCAACATTGCTTATTAATTCAGTCGCTGGACCATGATCTTGTGGGCAGGGCCTAAAAATGGTCAACAAACTGAGATGTACAGAGAGTAATGTAACTTTATACAAAATAATGTTGTAAGTAGTTTCTATCAATCTAATTTTTAAGCAGAAAACTTTACATTGAAAATTGCTAATTAGTTCAATATCCATGGACCATGTCCAAGTGGGCAGGGCCTCAAAACAGTCATCATAATGATATGTACTGATAGTAATTAATGTGACTTCATGCAAAATATCATTGATCTATCACTAGTAGTTCCTATCAAACTGACTTGAGCAGAAAACTTAACATTAAATAAAATGCTCCGCTGGTCACAGCTTGATACGACCGCAGAGGTCGAACACTGAACAGTTGGGGCAAGTATGGACACAACATTCAAGCTTGATACAGCACTGAATTTGGATTGTGATTAAATATTTGACACAGCATAGGTTTCTGACCCAGAATGAATGTGGTCTAAGAACTTAACAATTTTTAATTTACCTATTCAAACCATATCATTATTATTTGCTTTTATATATAAATGAGAAATAACCAATTTAAAATGGAAAATTTTAAAGAAAAAAAAAGGAAAAAAAATCCCTCCCCCAAATTTTTTGAACCCCCTTATGATTCATCACCCCCAAACTCAATCCCAGCCTTCCCTTTGTGGTATGGTACCTTGCAGTACAATTTCAGAGAGATCCATACACTTGAACACAAGTTATTGTCTGGAAACTAGAACAAGAGTGCACACGCTGAAATGTCTCGCCTTCTTTACTAATCATTGATATTATGTTGATAATCCTAAATATAAAGCTTAATTACAACTGTCAAATAAACTTAACATTAACCAAGAAAACTAAACATTGACCAATGAACCATGAAAATGAGGTCAAGGTCAGATGAACCATGCCAGGCAGACATGTACAATGTACAGTTAACAATTCTTCCATATAACAAATATAGTTGACCTATTGCTAATAGTTTAAGAAAAACAGACCAAAACACAAAAACTTAACACTGAGCAATGAACCGTGAAAATGAGGTCAAGGTCATATAAAACTTGCGCGACTGACATATAGATCATAAAATATTTCCATACACCAAATATAGTTGACCTATTGCATATAGTAATAGAAAAAAAGACCAAAACTCAAAAACTTAACTTTGACCACTGAACCATGAAAACGAGGTCAAGGTCAGATGACACCTGCCAGCTAGACATGTACACCTTACAATCATTCCATACACCAAATATAGTAGACCTATTGCATACAGTATAAGAAAAACAGACCAAAACACAAAACCTTTACTATAACCACTGAACCATGAAAATGAGGTCAAGGTCAGATGACACCTGCCAGTTGGACATGTACACCTTACAGTCCTTCCATACACCGAATATACTAGACCTATTGCTTATAGTATCTGAGATATGGACTTGACCACCAAAACTTAACCTTGTTCACTGATCCATGAAATGAGGTCGAGGTCAAGTGAAAACTGTCTGACGGGCATGAGGACCTTGCAAGGTACGCACTTACCAAATATAGTTATCCTACTACTTATAATAAGAGAGAATTTAACATTACAAAAAATGTTAACTTTTTTTTCAAGTAGTCACTGAACCATGAAAATGAGGTCAAGGACATTGGACATGTGACTGACGGAAACTTCGTAACATGAGGCATCCATATACAAAGTATGAAGCATCCAGGTCTTCCACCTTCTAAAATATAAAGCTTTTAAGAAGTTAGCTAACGCCGCCGCCGCCACCGCCGCCGCCGCCGCCAGATCACTATCCCTATGTCGAGCTTTCTGCGACAAAAGTCGCAGGCTCGACAAAAATGCGTATTTTTGGTCCCTTTTTGGCCCCTGATTCCAAAACGTTTTGGGCAATTACCCCCAAACTCAATTCCAGCTTTCCCTTTGTGATATGGAACCTTGCAGTTCAATTTCAGAAAGATCCATACACTTACACACAAGTTATTCCTGAAACTAGAAAAATGCTTGTTTTTTTGCCCCTTTATGGCCCCTTATTCCTAAAATTTTGAGGCAATTACCCCCAAAATCAATCCCCGCCTTCCCTTCGTGGTATGGTACCTTGCAGAACAATTTCAGAGAGATCCATACACTTGAACACAAGTTATTGTCTGGAAACTAGAAAAATGCTTATTTTTGGCCCCTTATTCCTAAATGTTTTGAGGTATGTCCAGTGCACGATGTAGTGACGATATCGCCGATATTGTTATCTCCGTTCATGATTTTATACCTGCTCGCAACATTGTCTAAATCGACCCCTTTCCTGTCTACATCGTTGTCATCGCCAACATCGTGACGACATCGTCTACATCATCCCCCTTTCCTGTCTACATCGTTGACATCGCCGACATCGTGATGTTGACAACATCGTGACGACATCGTCTACATCGTCTCCCTTTCCAGTCTACATCGTTGACATCGCCGACATCGTGATGTTGACAACATCATGACGACATCGTCTACATCGTCCCCCTTTCCTGTCTACATCGTTGACATCGCCGACATCGTGACGACATCGTCTACATCGTCCCCTTTCTTGTCTACATCGTTGACATCGCCGACATTGTGATGTTGACAACATCGTGACGACATCGTCATCATCGTTTTTCTTGCTGTCTACATCGTTGAAATCGCCGTCATCGCGATGTTGACAACATCGTGACGACATCGTTTACATCGTCCCCCTTCTCTGTCAACATCGTTGACATTGCCGACATCGCGAAGTTGACAACATTGTTACAACATCGTCTACATCGTCCTACTTGCTGTCTACATTTTTGACAAGGCCGATATTACTGTGTTAGTTATACGATACACTCATTTTACGTTTCATAATTGACATTGTACGACTTCGTATTTTGTCTAATTAGTTTATGAAACTACAACTCTAGACCCATCTTTTTTCGCAATGTCGGCAATGCCAACCATGCAGAGACAAGATGATGAAAGGATATCGACAAAGTAGTACAACACCATGTCGACATCGTTGTATTCAAAATTAACAATGTAAATACGAGTAATGTGTTAGCGATATCTGCAATGTCAACGATGTAGACAAGAGTATGAAACGATATCAACAACGTTGTACAATATCGTGTCAACATTGTCTACCTCGCGATATCGTCAATGTCAACGATGTAGATAGGAGTATGAAACGATATCAACAACGTTGTACAATATCTGTCGACATTGTCTACTTTGAGATTTCGTCAATGTCAACGATGTAGACAATAGTATGAAACTATATCGACAACGTTGTACAATATCGTGTCGACATTGTCTACTTTGCGATATCATTAATGTCAACGATGTAGACAAGAGTATGAATCGATATCGACAACGTTGTACAATATTGTGTCGACATTGTCTACTTTGCGATGTTGACAATATCGGTACTACTTTGTACACTGGACATGAATGAATGTTTTGGGCAATTACCCCCAAACTCAATTCCAGCTTTCCCTTTGTGATATGGAACCTTGCAGTACAATTTCAGAAAGATCCATACACTTACACACAAGTTATTGTCATGAAACTAGAAAAATGCTTGTTTTTTGCCCCTTTTTTGGCCCTAATTCCTAAAATTTGGAGGCAATTACCCCCAAAATCAATCCCAGCATTCCCTTTGTGATATGGAACCTTGTGGTACAATGTCAGAGAGATCCCTACACTAACACACAAGTTATGTCTGGAAGTTACAAAAATGCTTATTTTTGGCCCCTTATTCCTTAACTGTTGGTACCATAACCCCCAAAATCAAGCCCAACCTTCCTTTTGTGGTATTGAACCTTATGGTAAAATTTCATAGAGATCCATTCACTTAAACTAAAGTTAGAGTGAGAAAACCAATGTGTCTTCGGACGACGACGACGACGTATACCAATATAGGACAGCAAATTTTTTTTGCGGTTGTATAAAAATGCTTATTAATTGAAAGTGGCTGGACCATGTCTAAGGGGACAGGGCCTAAAAATAGTATTCAAACTGATATGAACTGATAGATATGTAACTTCATATAATATATGTCTTTTTATTTTTGGCCATGGCGTTGTCAGTTTGTTTTGGATCTATGAGTTTGACTGTCCCTCTGGTATCTTTCGTCCCTCTTTCATACAAAATATCATTGATCTATCACAAGTAGATCCTATCAAACTAACTTAAGCAGAAAACTTAACATTGAAATTGCTAATTTATTCAAAGTCACTGGACCATGTCTAAGGGGCAGGGCCTCAAACTGGTTGTCAAACTGATATGTACTGATAGTAATGCAACTTGATATTAAATATCAATGATCTATCACAAGTAGTTCCTATCAAACTAACTTAAGCAGAAAACTTAACAATTGATGCTGAAAAGCAATCCCCATGTCTTGCTTTCTGTCATTTTTATCCCAGGCAAGACAAAAAATCCTTCAATGTCATAATATTTTATTTCCTTCAATCAACTGAATGTAAATTTTTAAATGCATAATGAAGGTAGACAAATTAAGCCATAAGGAAGTTCTGCTACATACAGTGCATGAACAATAATTGATCAGAAGTAAAAAAGCTATAATGAGATCTGAACATAAATTGTATAAAAGTTTTATATGATAATGAACATACAGATCTGTATACTTTATATATAATGCTGATATATACAAAATACCCCCCATAAATTACACCCATCAACATTTCTGGTCCATTCCTGAAAATATCCAGATATAACATTTTAATGTTTCTGATCCATTCCTATAAGATATCTGGAGATTTCATTATCTACTGGGTTATTTCTTTAAACTATATGTAAAGGAACAAAGGAAATCATGTTGACTCTGATCTTTGTTTACAAAAAAATTCTGCAACTACAGGAGAGTTCAAGTTCATCTGTTCGATACTCAACTCCATTTGCTGAAATAACTTGATTCTTAGATGTAGTTTGTTTGGCTTATCATTGAACTAAACATGTAATGAAATATTCTATATTAAATCCATTCCAGAACATAATGGAATGTTGATAGGTGTATACTTTCAACACAATTTATTATGAACTCTGATTATATGTTTCAGTTGTAAGTTTTCAGTTTATTTTTGTTTGTAGTACTTTGTACATAAGTTGCAATTAATCTGGGTGAAAATGGTAATGTAACTGATAGTTCTATAAAGAACTTGACCACCAAGAAAGGTATGACTTACTGATTCCTGAATATCAGAAGCTAGAAATGTTTAGTTAATTAAGCTAGATAAACTAATGATTTAACCAATGGCTTCACAAAATCCACTGATGCTTCAAGTCAAAAACTAATCATTTGCTTTCCAAAATCCTTTCTAATGCTCTTTAATCAGCTTTAACTTGTATTATATACTTTAATAACTACAAAATGAAGAAGGGCAATGAATTTGAGCTAAAACTTATCTCTGGTTGCAACAAGAATCAACAATATACCGGTATATCAATATAAGTTTGGTTTATTTTTATGTTATCACCATTTGATATTTTAAAATGTATATTTATAAAACAAAATCAGACAATAGAAGAAACGGTGATTTTATTTTTTTTATTGGTTGTTGGGTTAATGTTATTAAAATATAGTTACCACCTCCTGTCTCCTTTGAGTTGCAGACCTAAGATCATTTTACAAGTCTCCTCAAAAATATCAAATATTTGTGAATTATGTTACTATGGTTACTAAATGGTAACTTATAACAGAAATAACATGTATGATATTTGCAACAGCAAACTTGTCAAATGAATACATTAAACAAAAATAAATAAATATTCAACAATAACAAAACATTTAATGTTTATACCATGATAAAATGTAAGTCAGCAACTCTCACAGTGTACATGTTATTTGTAAAACCAACTAACATCTGGGAATTAGCTTAAAAAATTAGCAATAATATCTATAATTTGTCAAATGTTTTCTTAAATTGTTTTAAATGCCTACATTGTGCTAAAGCTATTAGCTTATAAATGGACAAAGAAATGTTATTTTTGAGATGAAAGAGAAGAATTCCCAGATTCTCTCATATTCTGCAAATACATTTACTTAATTCCTCATATTCTGCAAATACATTTACTTAATCCCTCATATTCTGCAAATACATTTATTTAATTCCTCATATTCTATAAACAAATTAACCTTGCAGATGTTTTAGTTATAGAATTTTCAGAGATAGTTATTGTGGAGTTTATATTTATATTTAATTGACAAAAAATGCAGTTTTGAAGTGTACATCATTTTGTACCTAAAAATAAATCATTGAAATAGTGAAAATAACTAATTAATGCATTGTTGATACATGTAAAATACATTAATTAATAAAAACCGAAACAGACCTGCGTAGAACCAGTTAGGTTTGTAATAAATTCTGTAAAGTAGGAGAGATTTACAAAAGTTAAAGTCCATTTCCAAATTACCAATTTTATTTTCTATTTTAGAACTTTATGCAAATGGAAACAAGACTTAGGTAAAAAATCTGTACCCTGCCTTAATTTTACAAAGCACAATCCGAACAAGCATGGTGTTTTGTGGGGGGATCGAACATTAAATTTATACTTTGTAGGTGTATTTCACATTTTTAGTAAAATTGGGGTTGCAAAATAGGGGAGTATGTAATGAAAACTTATAAAAAGCTTATGAAACTCAAAACATGATATTAAAGCATGCACTTAACATAAGGTTAATAGGCAGGGATACAGTTTGACCTAGGTGTTATTTCCCTTTGAAAAAAATTCTTAACTTTGAAACAAAGTGGGCAATTGGAAAATGAACATAGAAGCAATTTCACAGGTAAATATATGCACCATTTTGTTTGTCTGTATGATAATTATTTCATTGTTCTGAAGTAATAAGTTTTCCTTTATATTTCAACACTGCTGTACAATAAGGGAGCTACCATTTGATTTTTATGGGGGGGGGGGGGGGGGCTAGGATGAAATTTGAAAAAAAAGGCAGGACAGGAGTTTTGAGTTAAAAAAAAAGGCAGGATGAGCAACTTGGCAAAAAAAAAAAAGGCAGGATGACAATTTATATAAAAAGGCAGGACCGAATAGAGTGAAAAATAAAAAGGCAGGACAGAGATTACAACTAAAAATAAAAAATGCAGGACAAAATTTTTCATCCTAACCCCCCCATAAAAATCAAATGGTAGTAGCTCCCTAATTTGATCAAAAACAAATATTTTGAAGTTATTCTGGCAAACTGTTATAATAAAATTCTGGAACAATTAAGATAGCATGGTTCTATGAGAATCATGTCTTCTTAGTAAAAAAAAAAACAGTTGTTTGCTTTATAACACAAAGTAATTTAATAGAATTCGGGGCAGAATTGCTACAATTTTTTGCCATGACTAGTAAATAACTATCTTAGTCATTCTGACCTTTAAGGATCACAGATTAAATCGAATGAAAGTTGTCTCCCCTTAATATTCTATAAATGGAGATAATTTGTAATAAATTTGTAGTCTCCCTACATATTATTTTATTCATACTGTAAACAATTTCACAGAAAACATTAATTCATATGTACTTTTTCTGGATAAAAATTGTAGGAACTAGTAATGCTGTACAGTGAAATTTAAAAACCAAAGCTGAGAGAAAAAAGGCCAAACACAAGTCAAACACAAAAACAAAAATTATATAAAATATTTATGGTATTTATCTATGGCATGGTATAAGGAACATGTTTTACAATTCAACTTCTATCACAGTACAACATTTAAATCTGTAGTCATCAAGGTCATCTATAGGTCCTGTATCAATGTTAAATGTATTACTTCCTGGTTGGGCAAAGGCTCCAGCAGCATATAAATAAACAGAATTTTTTTTTTTACTCTTTGAAGAATATCCTAAAGAATGTATGTACAGACACTGCAGAGAAGAAATTGGCTGGGTTTTTTTTTGTCTGAGATGAGATCCTGCAAAGATTTGACTACTACATGGGAGCATAAGGAGCAAGATTAATAAAGTAAACATTGTTCACACAAATGTCTCAAAAAATTGTTCTATGGAGTACAGATTCTTGATTCGTATTTTCGTCATTCATTTTTATATTCCAGTTTTTATTCATTTGATATTGTAGTTTTTTATGACATTTTTTGGCAATTGCAATGCCTGGATTAAACAAAAATCCATCCTTGACCTATGATAAAATATAAATAGCTGCTCCTATCTGTGAATATCAGACCACAACACAGGAAGTATAATTAGAACAATGATACACATGTCTATAAATTTCCTGACAATCTGAAAAATATTTTCATTCCAATTTCAGCTAACAAACATCACAACAGTACCTTCTATAAACTCATCTCTACGGCTGCATGCAATATCAGAAATCTTTTACACATTTGATGTGATTTTTTGTATGATAAATAGTGAATAATGATTTATATCTTATATAGTCATTTAAAATAATGTTATTGTCAAATTTTAAAACTTCTAGACCTAACTTCTTAAGTCTTTCCTTTTCCTGAATGCCCTGCATTTTTCCAATATGGCTGAACGACCTTCAACTGAGGCACTAAGGTCATACATTAAAAACTTAACTTTCAATTCCATCCTCCTGTTAATTTTAAGAATAATTCTTCATTTAATGTCTGATTTTTGTCTGAGGATCTCATAGAAAGGAATATATAACCACCAATAAATTCATGAACTGTTTTACAGCTAGCACTCTGCGTTGAAAAGTTTAATGTTTCTTCTTCAAACTCAAGAACTACGTGTCGAATTTCCCAGTTAACCCGCCATGATTTTAAAGTATTGTATCTCCATGTTTTTACCACATCACCAGAACTCATGTCTACTCTCATAATTCTGTTGTATGCTACACCAAGTATTTCCTGAAAAATGAAAGTAAAATTACAGAGTGTAAATGATTATCTACTATCCTGAAACAAAACTTACCGTATTTATTTGTGTATAGTACGCAGTTGTGTATAGGTATGAAAGTTTCATTGGAATCCAGTCAATGGTTTATGAATAAGTTGAGGATTCAAGATCCCTTCTCCCTTGTTTATATGTATCAATAGGCTCATAAAATTTCATTTCAATCTAGTCAATGGTTAAAAAAAAGTTGTCAATTTTTCTCCCTTATATATATGTATCAATATTCTAATATATCTCCAAGTTTCAGCGAAATACAGTCACCAGTTTAGAAAAAGTTGTGTATTCAAGATCCTTTCTTCCTTGTGTATATTTATCAATATTCTCCAAGTTTTACTGAAAACCAGTCACTGGTTTAGGAGCAGTTGCAGATGCAGAGTGCAGATGGATAACAAACCGAAAGACAATGATCAATATCAGCAGGGGTATTGTAAAAGTATATAGAATATGTGTGGATTCTACTTTTCATTTATCACATGTGTGTTCCTTCATATTCAATCACTAGAAATAAATCATATTTCAACCGATACTGAGATTTTAACTTCTGTTTCAAGATTCTGATACTTGCGATCAAATCTTCTGGCCTTGCGGTCATAAAACTTTCGAGAACGATTCTCGTACTCACTCAGAAACCAACCAATCAAAACACTGGATTTAGTGTTTCAAGCACAAATTTTGTACTCCGAGTACTGAGTAAAGTTTTATGACCGAGAGCCCAGTAACAAATTAATTCATGTTTTTTCTAAAAAAAATTTTATAAAACTTTTATATGTTGTATATTACTGTACATGCATTTTTGTTTATGAATCAGAAAATAATCCATCTATGTCATAAGTAATAAACTGCTTCGCTGAGCGCAGCTGGATACGCCCGCAGAGGTCCAACCCTGAACAGTTGGGGCAAAAATGGACACAATATTCAAGCTTGATACAGGTCTGAATTTGGATTGTAATTAAATATTTGACATAAAGGTTTCTGAATAAATGTAGTCAAAGAACTTGAAATTGGTTATATGAATTGAATTTATATTCAATTAAAGATTTCTTGCTGTTGTGCAATACACTATGCTGTTGCGCAATACTTAGTAAATCTGTTGTCAGACTATAAACAAATAAATTTAATAAAATTCTAAAGGGAGCTTACATCAATTGATATAATCAATTCACCAAAGTTTCATAAGAATTGTTGAAACTATTTTTGAGTTATTGTCTGAAAACTGGAAAATCCTCCCTTTCTTAATGAATAAAACCCCACAACTCGGAAATGTAATATCTAAAATTTATAAAATTCTAAAGGGAGCTTACATCAATAGATATCAACAATTCATCAAAGTTTCATAAGAACTGCTGAAAGCATTTTTGAGTTATTGTCCGAAAACTTGAAAATCCCCCCTTTTTTTATGAACAAAACCCCGTAACTTGGAAACGTAAAATCTAAAATTTATAAAAATCAAAAGGGAGCTCATGTCAACAGATATAAACAATTAACCAAAATTTCTTGCAAGTTGGTGAAAGCATTCTTGAGTTATTGTCCGAAAACTGGAAAATCCCCCTTTTTTTAATGAATAAAACCCCATAACTCGGAAACATAAAATCTAAAATTTATAAAAAATAAAAGGGAGCTCACGTCAATAGATATAAACAATTCACCAAAGTTTTATGCAAATTGGTTAAAGCGTTTTTGAGTTAATGTCCGACATGTTGACGACGGACGGACGGACAGACGGACGGACAGACGGACAACGGTAAACCATAATACATCCCGTAAACGGGCGTATAATAAAAATTATACTTACTTCTTTTTTACTGTTCTTTTGTTTAATAACAAAATAAGTAATACCAAAGTCTGGTAAAGCTTGCCATGCTTTTATGTACGCCATCTTGGATTCGATTAAATTTAAATTCTGTACATTTGAATGAGCTTCCATTATTCTTTGTACTAACTGTAAAAGTAAAGTGTTATTATATAATTATTTTTCACTAGATTTATATTATTTTTCTCTAAATGAATATATATGCCTCATTTATGAAATTATTTGCATATTATTATTGTAAAATATCAGCTGTGAGGTCACTATATGGAGCTTTTATGGTGAATGAGTTTCATGTTGTTCCAAGCAGCTGATATTTAACAATATCTGTATAATTCTGGGTCAAATTCATTAATGTCAGGTCAAACAAAATGATGTTTAAATTAAGCCAAAGTAAAATTAATTATGAATAGGTAAATCACATTTGACCTCATAAAGCAGTAATATTGAATTTTGTAAAAAAAACTGACTGACCAAGGTGACCAATAAATATTTCGTAGTAAACATCTATTGATATTTCAGATCATTCAGTTTTTAAAGTTATCATATTTCAGATCATTCGGTTTTTAAAGGTATTAATGAAAACAAAAATCTCAGTTCACCCATATATATAAGTGGACTGGAAAAGATACAAGAAAAGTTTGGTGGTAAACATAGTTTAACAATAAACAGTGTCTGCATCAAGTCAAGCTTTCTAAACTGAGTGAGGTTTTTAAACTTTAATCTCACTATACACATTAGAAAGGAAACATGATAGTATTGTATAACATGACATAGTTTATCTTTTTCTATCATCTTTGTCAATAATATGGTTATCCTCTTGTTCGAATGTGACAATATCAAATAAAAGAATTTAGAACAAATGACATTGGTCTTTATGATTCAGTTCAGATATTATCAGTTCCAAAACAGGAAAAAAAAAAAAAGATATTAGAGAGAAATTCTTCATTTTAACTGTATTTTGAGTTTTTAGCTGGCTTTTTCGATTATTGACATGATGAAATGTTTTTAAGCAAACATGTCTTATACCATTTAAAGTATTTGAGAAACCTGTATAAAAAAAAACAACCCAGACTTGTGCACGCTTTTTTGTGATATGGTTATCAACATTTGTTTTTTGTTTTGTTTGCATTTGTTCAAGTAATATGCAATAAGTAAAGTTCAATGTTTAAATGTTTAAAAGACCAACAATACCTTTATAAAAACAAACATAAATACTGAAATTAGGGGCTAAAACCATTATACACTATGTGAATTTCGCCAAAAAATTTAGAGACAATATCATTCAAATACTAAATTTTTGTCTGATCTAAATAACATAAAAGACCATTAAATGACTATGCGGTATGGGTTTTACACATTGTTGAAGGCTGTACAGTGACCTATAGTTTTAATGCCCGTGTCATTTGGTCTCTTGTGGAGAGTTGTCTCATTGGCAATCATACCACAGCTTTATATTTTTTGCAGGCATGCAAAATTCTATGGATAACAACATGAAGTGATTCTTTTCCCAGTTCCATAAACTTTAAAAGAAAATTCTGCATTTTGCTTTCCTTCACACCTTTAAATGACGGTACAATCATGAAAAAAAATCTATCATTTTTTTTTATACTTTAACTTTTGATTTCTTTAGTAGTGTTAAACAAACCCAACTGTTGAATGAAATAAAACAATTCTTTGACATGATCAGTGAAACCTTGATTCAAAAACTTCAAACAAAAAAATCAAAGTTGCCTCAAAACATCAATATTTAATCAAATTTTGAAATTAAATAAATCTGCAAAAATTTATATCTCTTACAGTTTTATTTTTTATCCTTTTATGGTATCTAGGAGCGACAAAGTCTTCAGCGTTTACATTGACATCAAACTGTAGCTGTACTGGAGCTGGTGTCTGCGATGGCTGTTGTCGACTTAGTAAAGTCTTTATAGATTCTACTTCTGTTACATATGAACTGTCAGCCATTGTCTTCCCCTGAGATGCTAGTTTACAAGCTGCCATCCACTTGCAGTATTGCTCCTCCTGTAAAAAGAAATGGACATTGTTGATAGATGTGGGGTTAATGCCAATGAGACATTAACTTGTGGATAGAAGGAGAGGTGTCTATACAATATGTCCAGTTCTAAATCGTCCAGTCTATAAAAACTGTGGGTTTATTTTATCCCACTTATTTATAATATAAAATAGAAGACACAACTATGATTTTTTTAATGAACTTTAATAACAAAACTTATGTCAAATGACTTTGACGGTTATTGATATATACATCCAGTGGCAAATATTTCAAGCATTATGAGGATATAAAACAACTTAAAGAATAAATAAAAGTAGTAGTTCTGCAAAGAGGAGTGTGGTTTACCAATAGATTACCTAAGCTGTATTTGACAAAACCTTTCTGAATTTTGAGTCCTAAATGCTCTTCAACTTTGTACTTTATGTGGCCTTTTAACTTTTTTTGATTCGAGTGTCACTGATGAGTCTTTTTGTCAATTTTGGTTACAACTTACATTGGGGAAAGAAGTTATTTTGGTTATTGGCAGAAATTCTACTTTCACCATGTCACCTAAATAACCCTGAAAAGATTGCTGCAAGGGTTCTGTGGTATGCATAGAGCTTAGCACACTAAACAAATGAGGTAGCAGATTTTTAAATTCCAATTCCAACCAAAGGAGTTAAGTATCATTAATGAATGTTTTCTGACTTTTTGAAGTTAACAGCCTAGTGTTTCTAAAAGACAACCAGTTTTTGAATTATTTTTTGTTGTCTTTTTTTTTCGAGTGTTATAAGTATGTTCTTTAATTTAATAGAAGTAAAATCTATTGTGTTCGTTATCATTAATAACTAATCAAGAAATCTTACTAGGAAAATACCATTAATTCTTCACACTAATGTTTGGAACTGAATTATTACTTACACTGTCAAACCTTAGCCATATTTCTGACATGCCATCCTATGTGACTTATATAACTTACACTGTCAAACCTTAGCCATATTTCTGACATGCCATCCTATGTGACTTATATAACTTACACTGTCAAACCTTAGCCATATTTCTGACATGCCATCATATGTGACTTATTTATAACTTACACTGTCAAACCTTAGCCATATTTCTGACATGCCATCTGAACCAGGTACAAATAATTTAATTCCATACTTCTGAGATGCCAGGTTTAGATCTGGATGAGCTTCACATCCTACAAAATAAATCGTAAAATAAAATCAATTTGTTATATGTAAATTATGTACAAAAATATTAAGGATCATATTCATTAAAAAATGTCCTTAAGGCGTTGGGGATTTTATACGCTTTCAAACTGCACTTTCAAATTTTCTGATTTAATCTGCATGATTTGTGGGTAGGAGATAATAAATCCTTCCACTTTTTCCTGTAACAGGGATTTATATTCTAAACAGATTTTTAATCAAGATAACCAACTACATTAAAATATTTACTGTGTACCTTTCTTTAGGTTTAAATATAGCAATAAGTACTTATTTCCACTTTTATGAGAGTAAAAGATGTCTGAACTCATATCATATCTGTTATATGAGTATAATTTCATACTTTACAAACATAAAATACAAGTAGGCGTTACAGTCATTTATCAAAGCAAATTATAACAATTATTTGGTTTTTTTAGTCACAGTTCATCAAATGAAATAAAAGTACTTTCTGCTAATTTTTTTTTCAAAATGCATGTAACTAATATGGTATTTATCTATCATTATATAATCACAAGTACATCAAAGAAGTGTACTCATATGCTGGTATTACAGAAAAGTACATGTAATTAAATAGTTTTTATCTGTCATTAGTTATAATATTACAAAGGGTACCAGAAAGACATATTTACTTTCTATTGTTATTGGTAATTGAGGAAAGTATGTGTAATTAAGTAATTTTTAACTTTCAGTATGTATAATATTAGGAATAGTACTAGAAAGACATATTTATCTTCTATTCTTATTGGTATTGGAGGAAAGTACATGTAATTAAGTAATTTTTATCTATAAATAGTTATAATATCAGAAAGTGCATGAGAAATACATATTTACCTTCTTTTGTTTTTGGAATTTGAGGAAAGTACATGTAATTAAGTAAATTTATTTTATCTATCATTACTTATATCACAAAGTGCACGAAAAAAGACGAAAAAAGATATATCTACCTTCTTTTGTTTTTGGAATTTGAGGAAAGTTTATGTAATTAAGTAATTTATATCTATCATTAGTTACAATATTACAAAGTGTACCAGAAAGACATATTTTCCTTCTATTGGTATTTGGTATTTGAGGAAAGTACATGTAATTAAACACTTGACAAGGAGCGTAATGTGAGGTATGACAAATCGGAGGCAATTGAAACCATCATGTGTCAGTTTATTGTTATTTTAACAGGATCAACGTAAAATTTGATATCATAATTAAACATTGTATGAAGGTATACAACAATGCTGAACTCAATCTTTTCCTGTTTATATCCGACATGTATCAATGGTGCACTTAGATTGACCTTTTTATATCCACTAGTAAATATGACTTGTATTATAATAACAGACTTCTTGTTATTGCAGAACTTAATTTTACGTCCTTTCTATAGACATTTAAATGTTTAATACTCAAATCCACATTAAAAAATAAATTGACAAAACAGGTGATGCAAATTTGTCATTGTTATACGGTCAAAGATCATTAGTTACAAAAAATACAGAACTCAAAGGTAAATTCAATAAAATGCTTCGCTGGGCGCAGCTTGATACGACCGCAGAGGTCGAACCCTGAACAGTTGGGGCAAGTATGGACACAACATTCAAGCTTGATACAGCTCTGAATTTGGATTGTGATTAAATATTTGACACAGCATAGGTTCTGACACAGAAAGAATGTGGTCTAAGAACTTCAATTTTTTTAATTTACCTATTATGGTCCAATGTCCAAAATCAAAATACATGGTTAGATTCAGCATATCAAAGAACCCCATATATTCAATTTTTGTTGAAATCAAACAAAGTTTAATTTTGGACCCCAACTTGAACAAACTTGAAAACTGGTCCCATAATCAAAAATCTAAACACATGTTTAGATTCAGCATATCAAAGTACCCCAAGAATTCAATTTTTGTTAAAATCAAACTAAGTTTAATTTTGGACCCTTTGGACCTTAATGTAGACCAATTTAAAAAACGGGACCCAAAATTAAAAATCTAAAAACACGGTTAGATTTGGCATATCAAAGAACCTCAATAATTCAATTTTTGATGAAATCAAACAAAGTTTAATTTTGGACCCTTTTGACCTCAATATGAACCAATTTGATAGCGGGCCCACAAAATAAAAAATCTAAATACATGGTAAGATTCAGCATATCAAAGAACCCCATATATTCTATTTTTGTTGAAATCAAACAAAGTTTAATTTTGGACCCCAATTTGGACCAACTTGAAAACTGGGCCAAAAATCTAAAATCTAAATACATGTTTAGATTCAGCATATCAAAGAACCCCATATATTCAATTTTTGTTGAAATCAAACAAAGTTTAATTTTGGACCCCAACTTGGACCAACTTGAAAACTGGTCCCATAATAAAAAATCTAAACACATGTTTAGATTCAGCATATCAAAGAACCCCAAAAATTCAATTTTTGTTAAAATCAAACTAAGTTTAATTTTGGACCCTTTAGACCTTAATGTAGACCAATTTAAAAAACGGGACCCAAAATTAAAAATCTAAATACACGGCTAGATTTGGCATATCAAAGAACCCCAATAATTAAATTTTTGATGAAATCAAACAAAGTTTAATTTTGGACCCTTTTGACCTCAATATGAACCAATTTGATAGCGGGCCCACAAATAAAAAATCTAAATACATGGTAAGATTCAGCATATCAAAGAACCCCATATATTCAATTTTTGTTGAAATCAAACAAAGTTTAATTTTGGACCCCAATTTGGACCAACTTGAAAACTGGGCCAAAAATCTAAAAACATGTTTAGATTCAGCATATCAAAGAACCCCATATATTCAATTTTTGTTGAAATCAAACAAAGTTTAATTTTGAACCCCAACTTGGACCAACTTGAAAACTGGGCCCATAATCATAAATCTAAACACATGTTTAGATTCAGCATATCAAAGAACCCCAAGAATTCAATTTTTGTTAAAATCAAACTAAGTTTAATTTTGGACCCTTTGGACCTTATTGTAGACCAATTTAAAAACGGGACCCAAAATTAAAAATCTAAATACACGGTTGGATTTGGCATATCAAAGAACCCCAATAATTCAATTTTTGATGAAATCAAACAAAGTTCAATTTTGGATCCTTTTGACCTCAGTATGAACCAATTTGATAGCGGGTCCACAAATAAAAAATCGAAATACATGGTTAGATTCAGCATATCAAAGAACCCCAAGAATTCAATTTTTGATGAAATCAAACAAAGTTTAATTTTGGACCCTTTTGACCTCAATGTGGACAAAGTTGATAACGGGGCCCAAAAATCAAAAATCTAAATACATGGTTAGATTCAGCATATCAAAGAACCCCATATATTCAATTTTTGTTGAAATCAAACAAAGTTTAATTTTGGACCCCGATTTGGACCAACTTGAAAACTGGGCCCATAATCAAAAATCTAAATACATGTTTAGATTCAGCATATCAAAGTACCCTAAAAATTCAATTTTTGTTAAAATCAAACTAAGTTTAATTTTGGACCCTTTTGACCTTAATGTAGACCAATTTGAAAACGGAACCAAAAATTAAGAATCTAAATACACGGTTAGATTCGGCATATCAAAGAACCCCAATAATTCAATTTTTGATGAAATCAAACAAAGTTAAATTTTGGACCCTTTGGACCTCAATGTGGACCAATTTAAAAACGGGGCCAAAAATCCAAAAACTTAATACACGGTTAGATTCAGCATATTAAAGAACCCCAAGAATTCAAGAATAAAACCCCATTGAAATTGATCAAGAAATAAGCAATTTATACGAAGTATCTTCTTTTGCACAATACTGTGCAATTGAATATTTCTTGCTATTGTGCAATACTGTACAATTGACAATTTCTTGCTATTGTGCAATATTGTGCTATTGGATATTTCTTGCTATTGCGCAATACTGTGCAATTGAAGATTTCTTGCTATTGCGCAATACTGTGCAATTGAAGATTTCTTGCTATTGTGCAATACTGTGCAATTGAAAATTTCTTGCTATTGCACAATACTTATTAGATAATAATTTACACATCCTGTTTGGTGTGTATCTCCTACCATATCATTATTATTTGCTTTTAAATATTAATCAGAAATAACCAACTTAAAATGGAAAATTTTAAAAGAAAAAAAAAAGGAAAAAAAAAAAAAAAAAGAAAAAAAAAAAAATCCCCCCCCCCCAATTTTTTGAATCCCCTTATGATTCATCACCCCCAAACTCAATCCCAGCCTTCCCTTTGTGGTATGGTACCTTGCAGTACAATTTCAGAGAGATCCATACACTTGAACACAAGTTATTGTCTGGAAACTAGAAAAATGCTTATTTTTGGCCCCTTTTTGGCCCCCAATTCCTAAACGTTTCGGGCAATTACCCCCAAACTCAATTCCAGCTTTCCCTTTGTGATATGGAACCTTGTAGTACAATTTCAGAAATATCCAAACACTTACACACAAGTAATTGTCATGAAACTAGAAAAATGCTTGTTTTTTGCCCCTTTTTTGGCCCCTAATTCCTAAAATTTTGGGGCAATTACCCCCAAAATCAATTACAGCCTTCCCTTTGTGATATGGAACCTTGTGGTACAATGTCAGAGAGATCCATACACTTACACACAAGTTATTGTCTGGAAGTTACAAAAATGCTTATTTTTGGCCCCTAATTCCTTAACTGTTGGTACCATAACCCCCAAAATCAATCCCAACCTTCCTTTCGTGGTATTGAACCTTATGGTAAAATTTCATGGAGATCCATTCACTTAAACTAAAGTTAGAGTGCGAAAACCAATGTGTCTTCGGACGACGCCGGACGACGCCAGACAACGACGACGACGACGACGACGCCGCCAACGTCATACCAATATACGACCAAAAAATTTTCAATTTTTGCGGTCGTATAAAAATTGGAAAGTCCATAAAACCAGACCAAAATCAAATGTTCAACCAACAAAACGAATGGAAAACAACTGTCATATTCCATTACTTGGTACAGGCAATTTCCAAAAAAAAAAAGGGTTAAACCTGGTTTTATAGCTAGCATAACCTTCCACTTGTATGACAGTTGTTTTATGTCTGTTATATTGATAAAACTTTATTGTCTTTTGCCCTATCTTTAAATGTTACTTTGTCATATCCTTAAATGTTTTTTGTCCTTGAAGTGTTTTTTGTCATATCCTTCAATGTTTTTTTGTTAAATCCTTGTCTTTCGTCAAATCCTGTCTTTCGTCATCTCCTTATGACTTTTTTCATATCCTTAAATGTTTTTTGTAATTTTAAATTTGGTGTTGTTGACAAATCTTAGATATTTTTGGTTCAATTAATTCACAACTAGACGCAAGACAACTTTAAAAGTTTGCCATTTTGTATAGACACCTGTTGTATGTTGGAGGCTGTATGTTGCCAGCTTAATGTCTTTTGGTTATTTGTGTCAAGTTAATGTCTCATTAACATATACACCACATTTCCTTTTATTCATAATTACTAGCCACAGATTATCACATAATCTAAGCCTGAGGTACTAAAATTACAATTTGAGATCAGTCCTTTTGTTAATCCGTTTCTTCAAATGATCGATAGAGTGTTGTTTGCTTAACATCCAGAGGTAAATATTTCATGCATATTCATATGCAAATAAATGCAAATATAATGGTAATATGCATTTTACATTGATTTCCAAAGCAGAAATACTGTTAGTTTTATACAAGGATAGCTGAGGGGCTCCAGTAGGGTATCCCCCTTAGATCACAAGGTCATGTTAAAACTTTGCCTCAGGCCACTAGGTCACTTTTAAGCAAACTATTGAGTTCTAAACAGATCTGAATCTCTGTTTTAAGCATTTTTAAAAGTTAAAAGGTTACATGATCGCCCGCTAAACCCCCTAAAGGTTGCAGGTGGAATACGACCATGTTAGAGCCACAGCTGAACAGTGGTAGCTATAACAGTATCCTACCTTTTATATTGACTTTCATGGCAGGTGTACCATTAGAATCTTCCTCTGTTTTATAGAAGGCTATGTGAGTATCCTTACATCTACAAAACGCTTTTTTATAACTCTTCAAAGTTAATTTCTTTGGTCTGAAATGAAAATTTTTCATATTAACAATAGTAATGCAAACTAGCATTATTGAAATTATCCATCTGCTTGGACTTTTTGTTTTGTTTACATGTTATAGTTTTTTTCCTCTACAATCTTCTGTTTCTACCAAACAAACTTTAACTGCATGAGAGTCAGTTTTATTGATATGATGTCCGTCATGTGCCCTTTTTCATTTTTTTTCTTAAGATTTTTTAAATTTGTAAATCTGAGTGGATTTACTACTTTGTTTTACTAACTGTAAATTCAGAAATTAATGCATGCATTTATTATGGCTAATCACTGAATACTGGTAAAAATGGTGAGATCTAATTAATGGGATTGCACACATTTTGAGATTGAAAATCCCCTAAAACTAAGAATGCGAGTTTTAATTGTGAACATGATACTGTCACATTTTTCACAAATCTAAAAACATCACACTTATTTCTGAATTTGCAGTAATTTTTGTTATTGTTGGAAATTTGGAATGATAAATACATATATATTTTATTACTATTTTTATGCAAGTTTCTTTTGTGACTATAAATGTGCAATTTTTTTTTGTAGGATTTTTTTGCTTTGGACATTTCCAACAATACAGTTTTTTAACAAAATTCATTAAGCTTACTTAAAATATCTGACACATCCACTGAGTTCTGGAATGGAGGTAATATCTCCAGCTGATGATAACACTGTACTGTCTAATGATTCCTCTAAATTTGTTAAATCAGCATCAATGTCATCATTTGGTAGATGGTTGGACATCGTAGAAGAATCCATCATGGACTCACTAGGCTGTGGCTGCCCAGCCTGCATCTGGACCTGAAGCTGTAATATTAAAGAACAACGATTCTTACATTTGGTATTTAGTGTATATTTAAAATTTTAAAGATTTAAGGGCTGTACCATTAAAGAGAAGGCACTTTGAAAATAGGGGAACCACCTATAGATGCAAATTAAAATTTCACTCACATTTCAACTATGCAAAAACAAAGTTGATACCCACCCATAGTTGTGATTTGTAAGTGCCTTCCAAATCATTTTCGCTCATACTTTATTTCGCATTAGTTCGATGCAATTTATTTTCACGATCCTCTCATTTTCTTAGTATATGTATTCAAGTTTCACACATTCGTGACGATTTAAATTAGTGTAGCTTCATTCTGTTTAATGTTTTTTTTTCAAATTTTAGAAATATACTTCATTTGGTCTCTTGTGGAAAGTTGTCTCATTGGCTATCATACCACATCTTTGTTGTTTTTTTTTTATTTTGTATTTGTTTGATTCCATATCCTTATGTGTTTGGCTTTCCAAAATTTTGGTTCTCAGTATTCCAGATGAAGAAAGTCAAGAAAAGTGCTTTGAAATACAACAAGTTGGCTTTGGCTATATATCAGTTCCTTAAATCATCATATAACCAGATGCTCCGCAGGGCGCAGCTTTATACGACCGCAGAAGTCGAACCCTGAACAGTTGGGGCAAGTATGGACACAACATTCAAGCTTGATACAGCTCTGAATTTGGATTGTGATTAAATAGTTGACACAACATAGGTTTCTGACATTTACCTATTATGGTCCAATATCCAAAATCTAAATACATGGTTAGATTCAGCATATCAAAGAACCCCAAGAATTCAATTTTTGATGAAATCAAATAATGTTCAATTTTGGACCCTTTAGACCTCAATGTGGACCAATTTGATAACTGGGGCCAAATATTAAAAATCTAAATACATGGTTAGATTCAGCATATAGAAGAACCCCATATATTCAATTTTTGTTGAAATGAAACAAAGTTTAATTTTGGACCCCGATTTGGACCAACTTGAAAACTGGGCCCATAATGAAAAATCTAAGTACATGTTTAGATTCAGCATATCAAAGAACCCCAAGAATTCAATTTTTGTTAAAATCAAACTAAGTTTAATTTTGGACCCTTTGGACCTTAATGTAGACCAATTTGAAAACGGGACCAAAAATTAAGAATCTAAATACACGGTTAGATTTGGCATATCAAAGAACCCCAATAATTCAATTTTTGATGAAATCAAACAAAGTTTAATTTTGGACCCTTTTGGACCCTAATTCCTGAACTGTTGGGACCAAAACTCCCAAAATCAATCCCAACCTTCCTTTTGTGGTCATACACCTTGTGTTTAAATTTCTCAGATTTCTATTTACTTTTACTAAAGTTATTGTGCAATAAAATGCTCCGCTGGGGCGCAGCTTGATACGACCGCAGATGTCGAACCCTGAACAGTTGGGACAAGTATGGACACAACATTCAAGCTTGATACAGCACTGAATTTGGATTGTAATTAAATATTAGACACAGCATAGGTTTCTGACACAGAATGAATGTGGTCTAAGAACTTAAAATTTTTTAATTTACCTATTCAAACCATATCATTATTATTTGCTTTTATATATAAATCAGAAATAACCAATTTAAAATGGAAAATTTTAAAGAAAAAAAAGGAAAAAAAAATCCCCCCCCCCCAAATTTTTTGAACCCCCTTATGATTCATCACCCCCAAACTCAATCCCAGCCTTCCCTTTGTGGTATGGTACCTTGCAGTATAATTTCAGAGAGATCCATACACTTGAACACAAGTTATTGTCTGGAAACTAGAAAAATGCTTGTTTTTTGGCCCCTTTTTGGCCCCAAATTCCTAAACGTTTAAGGCAATTACCCCCAAACTCAAACCCAGCTTTCCCTTTGTGATATGAAACCTTGCAGTACAATTTCATAAAGATCCATACACTTACACACAAGTTATTGTCCTGAAACTAGAAAAATGCTTGTTTTTTTTTACCCTTTATGGCCCCTAATTCCTACAATTTGGAGGCAATTACCCCCAAACTCAATCCCAGCATTCCCTTTGTGATATGGAACCTTGAGGTACCATGTCAGAGAGATCCATACAATTACACACAAGTTATTGTCATGAAACTAGAAAAATGCTTGTTTTTTGCCCCTTTTTGGGCCCCTAATTCCTAAAATTTGGAGGCAATTACCCCCAAAATCAATCCCAACATTCCCTTTGTGATATGGAACCTTGTGGTACAATGTCAGAGAGATCAATACACTAACACACAAGTTATGTCTGGAATTTACAAAAATGCTTATTTTTGGCCCCTAATTCCTTAACTGTTGGTACCATTACCCCCAAAACCAATCCCAACCTTCCTCTTGTGGTCATAAACCTTGTGTTAAAATTTCATAGATTTCTATTTACTTATACTAAAGTTATAGTGCGAAAACCAAATGTCTTCGGACGACTACGAAGACGACGACAACGCCAACGTCATACCAATATACGACCAAAAAATTTTTAATTTTTGCGGTCGTATAATAATCAGGGGTTCAAATTAGCGGTGGTCCGAGGTCCGTGACCGTCCACTGTTGCAATCGGACTTTCATTTTGGTTACTAGCCACGCCCGACGGACCTTCGATTTGAAAGAAAATAAAAATTAACTTTGCCGACCTTTTTAACAATTAGTATCGTCATTTCAGAGCCATATTATTATTAAAATTTAGATAATAGAAGGTTACATCCCTGACCTTGCCGCAAGTGATAAAAGTTATTTATAACCTTGTTTTTTCTTGGAAACACAAGGTTATAAATAGTTGCGGTAAGTCACGTGACAAATCATTTAGAAATTTTCAAACAAAATGAGTCTGTTTCGCTTTGGGTCACGTCTTCCAAGAGCCTGAAGATGATGAACGGTCTTGAACATCTTCCTTGGGACAAAAGAAAAGAAATCAAATGAAGATCTCACTTGAGGCCAAAAATACGATCGTGAAAAATGGGGAAGGAAATTTAAGGCCCACTGGAAAATCGATCGATCTTGGCTATATTTTGAAGTTTCAACTGGTACATACTGCCAGAAGTTCCCCACATATTCCGAAAAAGAAAGTGCACTTGTAAGGGGAACACTAGTACAAATAATTTTGACGTCTTGAAAGGCTATTTTACTTTTTTTTTTCTGTGACGCCTTCCTACCGTCACAGAAAATAAACTGCTTCGCTGAGCGCAGCTGGATACGCCCGCAGAGGTCCAACCCTGAACAGTTGGGGCAAAAATGGACACAATATTCAAGCTTGATACAGGTCTGAATTTGGATTGTATTAAAGATTTGACATATTATAGGTTCCTGAATAAATGTAGTCAAAGAACTTGAAATTGGTTACATGAATTGAATTTATATTCAATTAAAGATTTCCTGGTGTTGTGCAATACACTCAGCTGTTGCGCAATACTTAGTAAATCTGTTGTCAGACTATAAACAATTAAAGTTCAATTAATTCTCAATGTCATATTAGAAATTTATGAAAATGTAAAGGGAGCTTATATCAATAGATATAAACAATTCACCAAAGTTTCATGAGAATGGCTGACAGCATTTTTGAGTTATTGTCTGAAAACTGGAAAATCCCCCCTTTTTTAATGAATAAAACCCCCTAACTCAGAAATGTAAAATGTAAAATTTATAAAATTCTAAACAGAGCTTACATCAATAGATATAAACAATTCACCAAAGTTTCATAAGAACTGCTGAAAGCATTTTTGATTTTTTGTCTGAAAACTGGAAAATCCCCCTTTTTTATGAATAAAAACCTGTAACTCGGAAACATAAAATCTAAAATATATAAAAATCGAAAGGGAGATCATGTCAATAGAAATAAACAATTCACCACAATTTCTTGCAAGTTGGTGAAAGCATTCTTGAGTTATTGTCCGAAAACTGGAAAATCCCCCTTTTTTTAATGAATAAAACCCCATAACTCGGAAACGTAAAATCTAAAATTTATAAAAAACTAAAGGGAGCTCACGTCAATAGAAATAAACAATTCACCAAAGTTTTATGCAAATTGGTTAAAGCGTTTTTGAGTTAATGTCCGACATGTTGACGACGGACGGACAGACGGACGGACGGACAGACGGACGGACGGACAGACGGACAGAGGTATACCATAATACGTCCCGTAAACGGGCGTATAAAAAGGGGAACACAAAATCTTAAAATAGACCCAAAAAAAATTAATTCACGAAGTGATACCCCAGCATTTATCTTGTTTTAAGCAGTGGATTGATCAAAGTGACACAAATTTTAATTCTAAAGATTTATTGTCAGACACTATAAACGTTGACAATGCATTCTCAAGCAGCAATGTAAGCCTGATCAGTCAAATAGATATATAATAAGGTTCTCTTCAACACTGCATTTAGTGTTGCAAAAAAAGGGAAACCCTTCAGTAACAATGAATGTACTCTTGAAATCCAGAGCAAACATGGTGTTGATGTTGTTAAGCAGTACCTCAATATTGAAGGTTGTAAAGGAGGGACGAAAGATACCAGAGGGACAGTCAAACTCATAGATTGAAAACAAACTGACAACGCCATGGCCAAAAATAATAGTACAGATGACACAACAAAGAAAACTAAAGACTAAGCAACACGAACCCCACCAAAAACTGGGGGTGATATCTCAGGTGCTCCGGAAGGGTAAGCAGATCCCTGTTTATTCGCTGGATAGCCCATTATACATGTTATATGAGAATCGAGATGATAGCTGACATCTTGAGAGCACCATATTTAAGTGTCTTATACAAGACAATTACATTTGTTATTATACAATACATGTTATACCACAGTGACACTGACAGTTTGGTGCTTAATATGGTTGCCTGACAATATATTTGTAAACTTAACAAAACATTACATGCAGTTCAAAGATGATGAAACAAGCTAACCTAACACCAAAAGAACATTAATGTTGTATCTTAATGAGTTAAGAAATATTTCATGTAAAAGTAGGACCTGGGATTTAGGTTGTGGACCTTTCAGTTTGGAGTGTCAAAGGTCCTGGACCTTCCAGTACCAAATGTTAATTTGAACCCCTGAATAATGTTACTGACATACCTGAAAAGCTGCAAACATCATCATTTCTTCATCTGTGCAATCTACGTCTTCTGACAGCAGTGACCACTTGGCTTGTTCATATATCTGGTTAATTCTGACAGCATCATACTGAAAAATAAAATTATTTAAATGGTTGCAATGAAATATTGTAATTTCTCAGTCAAATAAAAAGATTTCACATGTGTAATAAATCTAATAAATTCCCTCCCCTGACTTCATACAATGGGTGTTATGAGGACATTGTTGATGATGCTGCATCAAAAGGAATTAAGAATATGCAGAAAAATATATTGCCTTGCATTTCTACTTTATTTCCATAAAAATACATGTTTAATGTTATAAATAGAATTTGTAATCCAAGAACTGCTGACTGAACAACATGAACAGGGCATAAACAAAAATGCAGATGTTCCTTAATTCCATAGTTACACTAGAATTCAATGATGCACCTTTTTAATTCACATCATAAAATATCACAAAAATATCTTTTTAATATGAGGTTAATGGAGAGTCACTGGGGCACCAGTCATACATTATAAGTCATTAAAAATTGTGATAGGTTCAATCCTCAACTTCAATGTTAAAGGTAACAAAAAATGGAGAATCTAGGATTTTAGAAAGGGGAGATTTTCTTCAAAACAAATAAATTGACAGACACACAAATTGTCTGACAGGGGAAAAGTGTGGAAGAGGAGGTTACAAAAGTAGGTCACAGAGATAAATGGGCTTGGTATTGTGTAAAAATCAAATATATTTCTACGGACATTTATTCATTTAACTTTACATGCTGGTATAAATTACACCCTTCAAAGGAGATTAGTTAGGATTTAATGTCTGTTTTCTTCAAAGGGTCTTTTTTTTCCAACTTTGGATATATAGTCAAACCTGTATATAAAGGTCACCCTTGGGAGCACAAAAAACTGACCTTATAAGAACAGTAAATTTTAAACAGGACAAGAGGATGGCCTGACAAGACAGGTTTTCTCTTTAAAGAAGTGACCTCTAAAGCAGGTTTGCCTTACCATATAATTCACCTTAGATCAGAAATAGGGCCCTAACTTGCCAAAGGTAGCAAAACCCAAAATAATGTTTAGCTCCTATTCAAACATAAAAATTTCCATCATTGATTGACATTTGTACAAAAATTTAATGCAAAGATCTACTGTGGATTAATCTATATTTGTGGATTGAGGAAAAAATGTATTTTCTTGCAGAGGCAGATTTAGGGGGGGGGTTATGTGTGTGGCAGGCCCCCCTTATGGAGCTTCATTTATGGTTAATCAGACTTTTTACCGGTTCCACTACAAATTTTGTCTATTTTTGGGGCCCTTTTTCAAAATCCTGGATCCGCATCTGTCTTGAATACTTGATTTCTTGGGGTTTGACAAGTTTGGCATACAAGCCTATAGGGAATTTTGTTAAACACTTAAAACTGTGGTTCACCTATACCCACAAAATCCACAACAATTAGTATCCTACAAATTACATTAAATTCACAGTATTTTGTAACCAAGAGGATAATCCCTCAATCATTTCTCATGTATATCTCACCTAAATTATGTATACAGGGTATGATAAGCAAGGGATTTATAAAATATAGCTATTAATTTGTAAATTATGATAGAGTGGTTTCTAGGCAATTGGTAATTAAGATATGGATAATTTATAGATAACCAGGTATATACAATCACGCTCTTCACAACATTTGCCAAACATTCATCTTTATTTTTAGAAAGGTTTAGATCCAAAGGGGTTATCATTAGCTTCAAAAGAAACTTTATCAAACTATAGACGAAAAGCATCTTAGAATTCTTTAAATAAATGCCATTTATTCATAATTAACCAATTAAATTAATTCAATTTTTTTTTAAAATCCTGTGGCTCCCAACTGACCTAATGTTGCCTTTTTTCCCATTTAAATCATTTGTATATTCATACACAAGTCTAGGAATTTAAAAACTACTCTGTAGTTAAATAAATTCTGTAATACACATTAGCGAGAAGTTGTATATAATATACCTGGAGAATAGTTGTAAAATTCCTAAGCTTTCATATGAATATGTAATATTGTAAATAAGTGTTGCATGAAAAAATGTTAATTTAAAGCTGACATAGCAATTTGCTGTAATCAATATTTAGTGTATACCAGACTCCCAACGGTGAGGAACCCATGATGTAATTAAACAGATAAGATTAGCTATTATTCTCAAATTCCTTACTTTTATTGATTGTTGAAGAACAACAATATACTTTCCAAGAGTACAATGTGAATGTACATTTCAAGACCATATAAGTATCTACCTTGATTGTTAAAGAACAACAATATATTTTACAAGAGTAGAATGTATATTTCAAGACCAAATAAGTAACTTCCCTATAATCTTATTGTACTTGGTTTAATGAAATGGTGATCACTAAAAACTTATTTCCATCTTGTATTACAAAAGGTCCATGTCATCCTTTGATGAGAGAAACTTGAGTGTGAAATATTAGATTCTTTGCTAAGAACCTGTTTTTTGTAGACATTTAAGTTTTGATAAAGAATTTCAAACTTGGTCACTTCATTAAGTTCATGGATAGAGAAAATCATTTATGCATTTTTTTTCTACCTCCTAGCACTGTTGTGTGCAAATTGTCAGAAGCATGTAAGATTTTTTTTCTGGTTAAAATTTAGATACAAGTTATCACCTACTGGTATCATTCCTGATGAAGAAGTAATTAACTAAGAGGTTTGAAGTCAAATATAGGGGATTATATTCCTATAAAAGTAATTAATTCATTGATCTGCCTGAACTGTAATGAGAATTGAAGAGGTTTAATCCTGTGACCTGACGCTGACTTCTCTCGTGTCTATTATGTATGTCTTTATACAACTTTTATACTCACATCTGAACTCCAGGACTATACCACAGGAAACCTATACTCATAAGAATTTAAAGACTTTCTAATTTTATTTTATTTTAAGAGGGATTTTAATTGTCTAGTTCAGATGACATCTATTGACATTTTATTCACTTTAGAAATGCATTGTCTATATATATCAATTGACCGAATAAATGCCCTTTAAGTTTAATTGTAACATTCTCCAAACAATGATCTTTATTGTAGAAGAAAGGTAAATACCTTTAAACCATTTAAAACATACAGAATACACAATTATGAGTGACAATGATTATTAATCAAATATGTTATCATAAAGACTCATCTTTGTTGATGAAATTCTTCATAGTTACCGTATTTGTTCTTATACAAGTAATAGATGATCATGGCAGATCTTGGAATATTTTTATTTAACTTATTCCTAACTTCTACAAGCAAGACGATTAATAAGGGCTTGACATAGTGTCATAGTTTAATGGTAAATATTTTGTTGCCCTCAAATTGTCATTTTATGTTATTATTGTTGTTGGGTTGCTGTCACATTGACATATACCCCAAATATCCTTGAATTTCATTGGTGTTAATAACAGGAGCTGTCACCCTCAGTTGGTGATGCATACATAGCCGGGGATTCTTAATACCCTGTTGACACATCCAGTCTCAAATGTAGTGCAAGAGATTCCTTTAGTTTTTTTTTTACATTTGAGTAGGAATATTCCAAATGGATTTACAAGTATAAAACATCAGTTAACTACTATCATCTCCTACTAATTGTATATATTTTAAATTTGTAAAAGATATTTAAACTATTATGTAAGTATCAGAAACCTGTTATGTGAGATCTGGTATATTATTTGTAAACCAAAAATAATTAGAAAATCATGAAGAATGCTTGCTATAATTTGGGGAGCTAAGAAGCATATTCAAAATTCATAATTATTTTTTCAATAAAAGAGATCAAAACTTTAAAAATATTTAGATTGTTAGATGAAGGATGAGTCCAATACTAAACAAATTGATCATAGGAGCATTTGCTTCTGACAAAATATAACAATTCTTTAAACTTTGCTTAAAAATCAAAATTTATTTTGCTGCACTAAGTAAAGGTGACTTTTAATAGGAAGAAGAGCTTTTACTAGGATATATACAGTATCTTTTATTATGTTAAGCTTAAGGCAAAGGTACGAATCAGATATTTTGTTTTTAAATTTTTAGGTCATGAGACACCTGTTTTTCTTCCATTCGTTAATTGATGATAAATTGTGTATTTGTTTTTACCTAGGTAGTAAATATACATTGTCTGATTTATAGCATAAACATAGAGAGATGAGTGTATGATGAGTTCCAGAATGCAAGTTGTGAGCGGATGTTACGAGGCTGAAGTAGAGGCTTGGCCTTCCTCCAATCTTTTGCAACAGCCTTGCCAAGTATTTCCTCCCCACACACTTGTGGAGCATATTTATAAATGAAGAACAACATCTTTAAAGAACAATTAAGACATCCTCGTATTAGTCATCTTATTAACATATTTATCTGTTAATATCATAACCATTAAGTACATCTATGTAGTTGATTATACCATCTAATTGATCAGCTTTATAAAAACACCTGTAGATCACAGAATCGTTAAGACTTGAGGATTTCATACATCTCAAATGATGCCAGGGAAGTATGCTAACTATGTGATGAAATGTCTACAGCTTCTGTTACAGAAACAATTTATAGCATTAAAAACCGTCTGCTTGTAAATTTATATTTACAGTTTCATTGTATATAATGATGAAAACATTTGCAACCATGAATCAGTGATTTTAATACCTGAGAAAAGTACAATGTAATTATAATTACTGGTGAAAAATGCTGATTCATCTAAATACTTGGAAGAGAATGTATTTTTGTAAAAAGAAATTTTAATTAAATACCAGGATGCACCTTTGAAATGCATTTTCATCATACAGCATACATAATAATATTGACAATGTCATAGCCAATAAAACAACTACCCAACAAGGACACATGGTAAAAAAAGTTGAACATACGTTATTTCCTGCCATGTTATCTTACAAATATCTTGTTGTCTAAAATATTTCTATTGTTTCGGAATTTTACAATGTTCTTGGCAAATTATTACTATATTGTTTAGATCTCTTTGCCCATTACAGTCTTTAATTTGTTTTATTCTGAATCTGTGTGCCATAATGCACAGCTGTAGCCGTATCCAAATCTACTCTAGTAAAGAATATTGACCAAACAAAGCCTGGCCATGGGCTATCTTGAATTGCAAGTGAAGCCTGAACTCCACATTGAGGGCTTTACTTTAACTTCGAGATGAACAGGAATAAAAAGGATGATCATTTGCTTTATATGGAGAATGTAGAGATGTCATGAATGAAGACACTAAATTCCTTATTTTCTAAAGTATTCCATATTTAATCTGTAGTTTGGTACAGATCTATTACGCTAAACATTAAATTTGTAATTTCAGTGGACCACAAATTCACTTACATTACTATTTATTATGACCTAAATGTTGTCCTGTCCCTATAAAATGGTGTGAGTACAGTTTAAAATTTTCATTTTTTTATGCTTTTTCCTACACAGTGTGTTCTATTGAAAGCTTAATTTACACTATCAATATCGTTTAAGTACAGATATACATGCACAAGTCAATACCCGGCTATATGATCCTATCCTTTACATAAATAGCAAATTCATGAATGAATACAAAGAAATCAATGTACCCAAAACTTGATTTTCTATTGAATGAAAGTTTTCTCTGTGAGACCAGCTGTGGACAATCAGTCTTGACCACAAAAACCACAGGTATGAGATTTAATCTTACCTTTGGATTCAGGTCATAGAATGAGAAGTATTTAAACTTGACGACAACAAAATCGTTTTCTCTCACACCCTGTTCCATCAGCGATTTGGACGAGTCTAACCATCTGTAATATATGAAATAGTATAAATGTTCAATCTGAAGAAAAAGACATTATGTGAGAATAGCAACATGATCATGTTCAGTTTGGTACGTGACATGCTCTCTTACATGTAAGACAACCATTCACAAAACTTATATTAAGTTTATAGGCATATGTTACAAGGCAAACTTATGAAACTTTAATTTAAATTTTATTTTTCAAGATTATTCAGATTAATATATATTATTAGTATTTTGTAGGTTTAACATAAAGAAAGATCGACTCTCATGCAAACAGAATGGCATTATACAGTTTATAAAGCATCCATCCCAAATCAGACCTGTCACAACTGCACATATATACATCCGGCTAAGGCAATTGTCGGCAAGTGATACATGTATTCATATTTGAGCAAAGAAAAACAAATCTACACTTAAGGTTAACTCAAGATTATGCATAAGAAGTTGAAAGTGACATTCTTGCTGAGGGCATATCCATTTGGCTGTGCAAGATTTACAAAATACATGTCCAATCAACGACATAACATCTTCAAACAGTAGGAACATTGTGTAACCTTTAAATAAAATACTATGTACAGTAACTATTTTTTTATAACCATGTCTACACCCTATCAGATCTCATCTGCAGGGACAAAAGCCCTCATTATCATAAATGTAATACCCTGCCGATTTAAAGTGCTGATTTCATGATGCATGTAAAATCTGTAATTTTTCCAGTCACTGCACATATAGTTGCAGATTAATCTACAAACAACACATTTTTTTAAAACTCAATCTGTCACACCAACGTGTTTATTGATCGTGAGGAATTTTGGGAGGTGATATCATTATGCAACTAGAATGTGACGTGCGTAACCATTCATTATTCCAAAGAATAGTTAGATCAATTTCAGTTATGAATACCAATATCATATTTCTACTTAATTTGGCTCGGATGTAATAACTGAATGACATTTGTATTACATAATATGAAATACATGTAAAATAAAAGTCAAGGTCGTCTTGATAGTATGTTTCTGGGACATAAACAAAAAAAATGGTGTAAAACATTGGCACAATCCTGGAGTTTTACTTAAAGTTATGACTATGTCTGTTCTCATCAATGTCTTGAATTGGAAATGAATCCTTTCTCATATATTTTCCACAAACATAGACGAAATTGTGAACATTATGTTGTCATTTGATGAATATCAATAGAATATTCCAAAACTTTTATTTTATTACTCTCAAACCATGATGTATTGTATTGTTTGTAAACCATTGGTTTTACCATTGTTATGCCATCCCACATCTTGATGGATATGTATTAGATGACAGTATAAATTAAATAAGACATACATGTAGGGTAAAGATTATGGAAGGCTGAACTTCGAAGAATCTGTTTTATTTACAATAAGGTTCAAAGGTTCAAAGCTAATAAAGAATAGAATGAGTTGTCAGCTATAATGTTTTTTTTTTCTTTTCAAGAATTTTGTGTTTATGATCAACATTTGTAAACAACAACAAAATATAACTAATAGCTAATGACAATGAAAAATGAAGTGCCTTACTTTGGACAGCGTTGCATTGTCTTCAATCATTAATAATTTTTAAATATTTTTTAAATACTGGTATAAAATTAAGGAGATGGGGTAATCAAATCAAATCATTTTATTGGTGTAAAATCCAAATATTGGATTGTTACCAAGACAAACATGACAATCATTACAAACATACAATATTTAAATTTAAACAACATTCATATTCTATAAGACTATATTTAGATGTTTTGGAGGAGGTGATACTTTTGCAAATTTGAAAGTGCAAGTACAAAAATTATAATGCAATTGTTATAAAATATATTATAACAAATACTATAAAAAAAAAAATATAGAATAGTCATAACTTTGTTACATCAACTTGTTCTTCTTATCAGCTAGGCTATTTCTTAAAACATATAAATCATTAACTCCCTTGACAATAATTTTAGTTACGTCATACTCATTAAATGTACCGGTAAACATAAATGCAAATTTTTCCTCATCAGACATTTTGGTGAAATCTGGAACTATACTCTCTACTTCTTGAAAAAGTTTTTGCCTACATTCTTCTAAAATTTGACATTTCAAAGCAAAATGGTATTCATCTTCTACCTCCTTTTTACAGAGAGGACATAATCTTCTGGGTATGACTGCCAATGAGACAAATATCCATAAATACCAAACGACTAAGATTAAAAATTACAGGTCACTGTATAACCTTTAACAATGAGAAAAACCTGCTAATATAACACAACAAAACTATATCATAAGAACTACTGGTGATTTGACTCAAATAGATGTAAAGGCTATGATAGTAAATATGCTTTAATGTTACTGTAAAAGGAATAATTGACCTATCACAATTTTCCAATACAATGCTGGTAATATTTTTAACTTTTTTTGCAGACTTCATTCAGTTATTGGATTAAATTGTCCACTTTTCCACTTAATATATGGACAATGTTCTACTAGTCTCCTGACAAAAGTGTTCATTTAACACTATCATTAACTACTCGTCTCCAGAGACGTCTGACCATATACATATGTTACTAAAGCGACACTTGATGTGACAAACGCTGAAATGTCATTCTGTGGTGTACAGAAATAGTATTACAAATGTTTCTACAAAATGTCTTTCTTCATTTCCTTGTTATGTATATATAATTATGTATGTAAGGTATAGTGTTTGTTAAAAATTTATCTTTTGATTTAGTTAAATGATGTCTCAAAGTACAGCATAGAAGTGCCTGAGAATTGTAAACTGCTGTTTGTTTGACAATTCAATGCAATTTATTTCCTACAAGAAAAACATTTTTTGAAGAGCTTTCTCAAAAAACAAATTATGCATAAGATACTCAATTCTTGTTGCCAAGTGCTTATATAATTCATCTGATCAACACTTCAAGACAATTAGAAACATATGTATGACAACAATTAACAAGGAAAACAATATGAGGTTCCCTTGTCAAGTATTTGTTATTCTGTACTTTTAAATGTTTTCTACCTTGATCATAACTGCAATAATTCAGACTTGTTCGTGTAATAGATCTCTCCTACTTGTGAGGGCTTGGACTCTTTATACAACTAAAACCTGTCAAAATTCCAGGATTCTGATTAGGGCTCTGGGGATGAGACAGCCAATCAACTGGTAGCTTTATGTTACTGAGCTTATTTAGAATAAATTATTGGTGATTTTTCATTGACTAGGCCTTCAGACATTAATGTAGCCATCATAGAGCAGCTGAATTTAACAACTGAATTTATATAAGGTGACCAGTGTTTGCAGTGCAGTTAAAAACAAGCAGTCAGGGTTTGGTCCAACAATTTCCTGCTCTCGAAACAACTACAAGATATTTTTTGAAGTTCCTACTTAAAAGTTTTGGTAATCTTCAGTCATTCCAAAAGTTTGTCTACCCACAATCCAAAAGTGTCTTTTAAAATTTTTAATGAGTACAAAATCATGTCCTTAGGCATGTTAGCATTTTAAACAGCCTGGACGGGTTTGCCAATGGTTAACCATGACAAGTGAAGTTTGACAAAAAGCTAATGACATTTAGAAAATATTTTCTCATGTTTTGCACATTTTATTTTTCCGTCTGTATTTTAATTTGAAATTTAATATATTCATTCCCAGAGGATTGATATAAACATTTTAGAATACTTGTCAGATAAAGTCTCACTATTTTGTCTTGTACATGATTTAGTTCAACCAGACAAAGATAGCAAAGTAATGTCAGAAATTCTTATCAAAACATATGGTTACATAATTACATCAGATAAATCCCCGTCAGTATACACACAATCACAAACATTATCTATTACAGTTACAGCTTTTGAACACAAAAACAGAATTTCGTAGAAATCATGTAAACACTTTTGAACACAAAAACAGAATTTCGTAGAAATCATGTAAACACTTTTGAACACAAAAACAGAATTTCGTAGAAATCATGTAAACACTTTTGAACACAAAAACAGAATTTCGTAGAAATCATGTAAACAGACATGTAGACATGTTTTGATTGGTTTCAGGAAAACATACCAAAACTTTCATAAGTACTACTCAAACAGATTATGTCATTCTCAGTGGGAGCTGGCACAAAGTTGGCAAAACTTCTGGAGGGTTCTCTCTGTCCACCCTATGAAGTGGACATACCATTTCTTTTTCTCCCCCCCCCCCCCCCCCCCCCACAACCACCCAGGGTGACTGGGGAATAGAAATATTGGCACTTTGGTCTTTTTCTGTAAAACCCTTGCCAAAGTGGGGTGTCCATTTGGCTGTGCAGGATGTACAAGTATGCAACCAAATTTCTGTCCCTATATAGTATACCCTCATTTTCCAGTGCCAGTTCTTATTCCCAGACATTCATCCAGGATGGTCTCTATTACAGGACCTACCTATTGTATTTATTGTTAATTTGTTCTTCTCCTGAACATGCATGAAATATTTGTCGCTGGACGTTAAGCAACCAACAACGATCAATCCATCTTTTTCTTTCACCATTAAACTTGCATATACATAATACATGGAAAAATTAATTAAAACTTTTCACAAAATCTGAGGTAAAATTTTAAAGTGCGCAGGTTGATATTACAACATCCACTTAAGCTATAAGTGTAAATATTTGAAGAATTCATATGCCATTTATTTATGATATTTTCGGAGCATTCAGTCACAAAACTTTTTTTTCCTATGTGCAAACGACAGCAAAGAACAAACCTCAGGCTCTATTAAAGTACATCTATTGCCTCAACACATTTTTGACACACTTTACCTGAAAGGTTCATTTTGTCAACCACAAATGTTTCCACGTACATGTATTTGCCAAAATAACATTTCAGCAAAATTTTCGATAATAGAATTTTCCATAACTCTACATAATATAGCTGACAGGTATACAACTATTTTGTGAATTTGCAATTATTTGTCTCTGGGGTGTAAATTTTTAGATGCCCACCGCAATGTTTTGGAACCTTTGACTTCTTCATCTGCAATACTAAGTACATAGAGATCTATTTCTTGTGAAATTATGTAATAAATGGAAAATCATTTAGATAACATTGAATTATTGGCTTTGGGATAATATTGACCAACATTTGTCAATTTTCTGATTCAGGCAATCTACCACACAGAGTGATAATCAACAGTAATATTTAACATGCACACTTCTTAACTGTTTAATTTCCTGTGAAACTTTCAATTTATTAGTAATTACATGTGCAGTAAAAGAAAGTTGAATTCATTTATCTGGTAATTAGACCTACCATAAGATATTACTTGATTGTTTATTACCTGTATTTACCTAATTAGATACATGTACGGGTAATACTCTGGCTTATCATCTCGCAATGGGATTCACCACTTTTAAGTAGTGAAATGACGTTACAAGTGTTATACACAGCATATAAATCTTTGTTTTGGCAATTTTTCCAATAATAACTGGCATTCAGAAATCAAAATTTGCCAAAAGGCAGAATAAAGTGGCCAATAAAGGGTTAGATAGCAATGACTCATATAAGAAATCTACCTCTGATTCCTATAGACTTATTAGCTCTTTGCAAGAAACAGGCACTGAATGCCTGTGCATTAATAAAGTTCAGAATGGACTTTGCCATTTTTGGCAAAAATATATATTAGCATGGCATTATACATAGGAACTAGAGTACTGTGGCTTCATTCATTTTCCTGGATACCAATTTTCAAGGATTGAGAAAAATTGTATTTTCATAAATATTTGATTTTGTGCTTTTTTTCCTGGATACCAATTTTCAAGCACTGAGAACAAAATTGTATTTTTATGGATATTTGATTTCTTGGTCTTACTAAATTCTGCATACAAGTCTATAAAAAATTCTACTTAGTTGAACATTTTTATTTGTGGTTTATGTATACCTACGAAATCCATTATAATTGGCATCTGACTGATAATAATGAATCCATCGTGTATTATGATATGAGCTTTGCTATACAACATTTTCAACAAATATTCCGAAAAACCAATTCTGCATTAAATAAGTTTACTTACGCATAGTTTTGTCTTGCTTTTTCAATCAGATTTTTTGGTTTTTGTAAGAACTGTGCGGCATCCTTGACACTTATCTGTGGACTATTTGCCAGGGCATTTTCCATGACACTTTCAAAAGATAAACTGTACATAGATCCAGGGGACAATGTCCCATTAGCATTTAATGTATTGTAAGGTGAAACTGAGTTTGCTGAATAATTAGCATTATATCCTGGTGTTTTTCCTATAGTGTTCTGAAAGGGAAAACAATTACATATATATAAATAATGACAGTTGCTGACCTTAAATGGCATCTTCCTAAACTTTAAAAGTATACAATTACAAGAGTTATTGCAAAAAAGTGTAATATTTCAATTTTGAAGAAATATCTCTAGTTGAGGACATTTACTACACTGAAAAAAAATCCATCTGAATAAAAATACTATGTAGTTCTTTTAAATGAAAAATTATTATTTTATACACAACATTAAATAATCTTCCTTTATTTTTACACTTTTGACCATGTTTAATTTAACTAGTTTGGTACTAAGTAATTGTAAAGAATTTACAGGTGTCTCACCATGGTTTGCTACCAGGAATATTGAGTGACCTTATCAAAATTGGGTACCAGTCAATATTTTAAAGTTAAACATATATGTCTTTAGATTTATGTTTTTTTTAATATTGTGTTATCTTTTGACAATGAAGTCTAATTCTTTGTGATGCCAGAAGGCAGTTAGATGCTGTTAGTCAGAACTTACTCAATTGATTCTATAGAGTCAAATCTCTACATCTATGACTGCTAAGAGAGAATACTTACTGTTGGTGAGGGTCCGGTAGGACTTCTACTGTATGGACTCAGTCTCTCTATGCTCCCTCAGGGAGAATACTTACTGTTGTTGAGGGTCTGACAGGACTTCTACTGTATGGACTCAGTCTCTTCATGCTCCCTGAGGGAGAATACTAACTGTTGGTGAGGGTCCGCCTGGACTTCTACTGTATGGACTCAGTCTCTCTATGCTCCCTGCGGGAGAATACTTACTGTTGGTGAGGGTCTGCCCGGACTTCTACTGTATGGACTCAGTCTCTTTATGCTCACTAAGGGAGAATACTTACTGTTGTTGAGGGTCTGACATGACTTCTACTGTATGGACTCAGTCTCTCTTTGCTCCCTGAGGGAGAATACTTACTGTTGTTGAGGGTCTGACAGGACTTCTACTCTATGGACTCACGTCTCTCTAAGCTCCCCGAGGGAGAATACTTACTGTTGGTGAGGGTCCGGCCGGACTTCTACTGTATGGACTCAGTCTCTCTATGCTCCCTGAGGGAGAATGATACTGCACTCCATTACCATTTACACCAAGGTTTTCTGTCGATCCATGTTTCTTTTTCTTTTGGTTTAAAGTCTCCTTTATATTCTTTTTTAAATCATCCTTATCCATATATTTCATTACAGACATTTCTTCTGAATGTCTTATACCTGAAATTTTTATAAAAATAGATTTTATGTGGTGTTTATTAAAACATTTATAAACAAAGGCTCCCAATACACTTTAGGTCAGTTTACCGTAGAAAGGCTTGTATAGTTCGCACTGGTACATAGTCCGCACCCCCTTCTCCCCACGAAATTTTAGGTAAAAAAACTTTTTGTAACTGTTAGAAAAGGTCTAATGAAACTCCAGTAATTTCAAATCCTGTGCGGTTGTTTGCGGTATTTTCTTGGGAAAACCTGTCTTCCATCATCAAACAGAAGCTGAAACTGCTTGTAAATGATTCTAGAACGCTTCATGATTGTTAAAATAAGTTTAATTCACTTAAAAAACAATTTAGAAACTTGTGTATGTTTAAAGAGGAAGTTTAAAAAGCACGTGTAAAAGAAGAAACTAACCGGTGAGAGTCGAAATCTGTACATAACAGATATCACTATAATACGACTTTGAAAGTAAAACAGTTCCATCCTTTTGTAAAACAGTCTTTAATATATCTATCACATTAATGTTTGAAGGGTCTTAAGCTAATACAAACCATATTAGTCAGTATAAAACACCAAAACGGAACGAACAATAACCGATTACGTTTTGTAGTTTACAAATTCTAAGCTGGTTTACAGTTGTCTTTTTCACTATGTTTGTATCGTTTCAATCAAGCAGATACCAGTTTATTTCAACCAATGCATTGAAAAGAAACGAGAAATTTGTAATGAAAGGTTTAGTTTTTATATTTATCAGTATTAATTTGATATTGAATAGAAATAACTTATTAATATGGATGAGTTAAAATTATTAGTTTGAAAAATGATAAGAGCGCCCTCTACAATATAAATAACAAAGATGGCGGAATGTAAACTAAGCACCTCGCCCTCGAAATTGAAATTTTTCTCTTATTTCTTGCTTATTGTACTCTATAGTCCGCACCCCGTCTGGAAGGTCCAATTTTGGAGAATAAAACCGCGGACTATACAAGCCTTTCTACGGTAGGAGAAATGATCTAGATGTGATTAGATACTAATATGTGATTGCCTGATAAAATGAAAACAATATAATTTTTATTGTTTTTCCCTTAGTAGTAATATTAACTTAACATGACACCAAATTTTAGATAGGACCATAATCAAAGAAAAGTTATCTCCCTCCAGATATTGTTTCTTTGATTTCAAAGTCTATGTTAATTTTTCGAACAATTCTACATATTTTAGTGAAAATCTACCCATGAACCTTCTTCCCCTTTATATATATTATTTGTTGAAAGAGGACAAGAATCAGAAAAAATCATTTTGAAGGCGTTAAAGTTTTTATTTGTACTCTTAAGTACATATGAACTCTACCAAATATAACTCTATAATATAAAATAAGTCTCACGCCTCTCCTAGGTTAGTAAGCAGTGACTAAGAAGTATATAAAGATTCTAATGAAGACATGATATCTTTAACATCTATGCATGAGATTCTTGAAATCATGACATCCTTGATGAGGATATTTTTAACACAGAGCATAATTTCAGAATGTATGGCAACAGTACACACAAAGTGAATCAGTTATGCATCGCTCATTGTGCCAATTATCTAAATTATAAGCGGGTTTGTTTTGAAAAATCTATGTTTATTTTTATTTAACATGACATGGTTCAAAATCAGACTATTACATGTACCACCAAAAGGATAATCTGGGTTTGATTGATTGAAGAGTGGGCTTAAATTTCCTAATATTAAAAAAAAGGTATTGAGTGATGCATTTTTTAAAGATGATTTGATGATAAAAAATAAGAAATTATTTCTAACAAAGGGGTGTAGGTCATCTATGCCCCCACCTGAACTGGTCACTGATTACTCTTATTGCCATCAATCACTTGTTCGATATAATTTACCAATATCTGGGAGCATCAGACATATATTTTTTAAAGATTTGATGCAAAAAAAAAAATTTTCTTTCAAAGGGGTGTACCCCCCCCCCCATGGTACCACCTGAATCTGTCACAGATCACACTCTAACAAATTTCCAGCAATCACTGTTTCAATGTATTTACCAAACATCAGCAACAGTGATTTTTTTACAGAATCAATGTATATATACCTACAACTGTGCATTTCATTTCAAAATTACTTAGTACATGTACAGTGGGTGTAATGGGATTAATTAGCTATTAACCCAGTCTCCATCTTAATATTAACTGGTAAAAGCCAATGTTTGTTTTTAATACACTTCAACTATGCCAGAACTATTCAGAAGTATGAAGCAATTATTATTTTTGGCTGTGATCATAGTAATTCATTATCACACTATAAGATAAATGATAATTACCTAATTCTTTACAAAGCTGAACCACAGCGGAGAAAACTTTACATGAAAAGTCCATTCTCAGCTCGAGGATTTGTAAATCTGGGATCTGTACTTTCATTACTTTATGCATAGGAGTAAATAAAAGGCGTGCATCTGCTCCTACTCCGTATTGATCTAATGTGGTACGAGGTCTTGATAACCACATATTTTTATCTGGCCACCAGAGGGCATGATCTGACCAATCCATAGCAATATCTGTAAAAATAATTTGGTAACTATTCAAAATGCTTTTAAACAATTGAATACACTCGAACATCTAAAAACATACTATTTTATTTATAACTAAATGAAAATAAAAATTTTACTATCATTTGCAGATAAATATTGTACAGTACACTGTACATGTACTTGTATGTACAGCTCCAATTGATTTTGATTTTTCTATCTGTTCCTTGGACCATGTGCAGTCCACTAATAAAATTGAGAATGGAAATATCATTTTCTATTCATATCAATGGACCAAACTATACATCCATTAGTTAGGGTGGGGAAGTTGGGTAACCATACAGTCTAAGGTCTACTTGTGTGTCCATTGCCACTGTGGACTACTGACCAAAAATGAAATATAAACCACACGAGATTTAGTCGTGACAGTGTAGTTGTAGTTACTCCATATTGTATATTTAGAAAAAAATATCTAGTCTTTATCAATCCATTTCATACAACACTTGAACTGCAGAACATTAAATCATCAACAAACAGATCATGATCATTCAAAACAATTTTACATGATTCAAATGCAACTATAATCTAAGGCAGGCTGCAAGAATGAATAAATCATTTCTTTGACACCTGTATGGACTTATTTGCAGACACCAAAACAAGATTCCAATATCAACTATGAATTTGAAATTAATATACAACTACTATCTATCAACAGATAATTTTGTCTGTCCTTTTATTATTATGTGCACTTAGTATACTTAACATTAAATAAAGGAAATTAGAGTTGTTTGTCTTTTTATTGTTTTTCATTTTTTATAAGTTTTTCTGTGACTTATGATTTTTTATTGTCCCTTTGGGGCCTTCTGCCATATGCATAACACATGAAAAGAAAATTCATGCAAAAATGTAATGAAAAATTAAAATAGGATTCGATACATGAATAAAAATAAAAAGATCTTGATGTGGTATGTTCGCCAATGAGACAACTATCCACAAGCTTAAGAGACCCAAGTCTCCTTTGAAGATGAAAGCCATCCTTGGACATCCTTTAACTCCATTCAAAGTATCAAAGACATAAATACCCTAAGAGTGTGATAGCATCGGGACATGAACTCTATTATTGATAATTAATACTGATAGTTTTATTTCTAGATCCACAATAATCTTTTGCTCCTCTTTATAAGAGATGTTCTAATAATGCCCATCATTTTTAATAATCTTTTGCTCCTCCACACAAGAGAGGTTCTTAAAATATTGATTTGGAGATTAAAAACTGTTGACTATAAATCTTAAAACAGACAACACAGCAGTCCTTCCTGTTGATAATGTTATGATAAGGGAGATCTGATGATCTGAAATAATCTTTGTATAACATTCATCCTCCCCCGCTATGTTGACATAATAAGGTTTAATATTGAGGCCAAATTTCTATAACCAATATTTTAAATACTCTTTTTAACTAGATTAGAATACATGTACACCTCATGTGAATTTTGGTATTTCCACACCCACCTATGGTGATGAGTGGCCAATCAATGTCTGCTGAATTTCATAACTTTTATTCTGTTGAAATATTGAATGAGCAAACTAGACTCTCACAAAGATGAATCCATGGGTATTATTTTATGACCTATGAGCAAATACGTACATTTTTACATTGTAGATATATGCATCCAGTAATCATCAGATCTTTGAAATGGAAAATCCACTCAGTGACTGACAGTGACTTGCATGAAAAAATTCCTTGCTTGGAACCCTGCCTTAACTACTATGTAATCTTTACATAATGACCTTTACTCCCCGGTTGGCAGAAAGTGTTTATTTTCTTGCAATGGCCCAACATATAGCATCAAAAGACATTTAGGGGAACAGCTTTTTACTATATAAACCATTACTATATATGTCCCACTCGATATTATTGCAAGATAAAATTAAATGCTATATACGTCACAGCTTTTTTAGATGGGAGATGGTATGGGAGATCTGGCAGTACAAAAATTATAATGTAGAAACATATTGTAATACATTTTTAAACATCTATATTTCAAATATCAAGGACATTTTGCAAATGAAACTTTATAAATGCCACCCAATATTACATGAACTTTTCGTTTAGTATTCTAGCAGGAATCAATGTTCAATAATGAATTATCGTTTTAAGCACAGGAATAAATGAATAGAAAACAATGTTAAGCTGTGTAATTGATTGTCGGAGGAAATTAGATCATATCAAATGCTTGTTATTAATCTAATCAATAGAATTTGATACGAATGAAATTGATTTTTAATCGTAAAAATCAGTACTAATACTGTGTTTAATTGGATTCTTTGTACAACATTTCTATCATATCCTATAAGTGATTATATATATATATATATATAAAGATAAACAATAAAATCAGAACAGAGTCAAATTTCATCCTTTTATGCTTCTTAACTTTTTCCAGACATAAAAGTCATATTGACAACATATGTCTCTTAACAATATAAATTTTCGGAAAAATACATTACTATAAAATATTTGATCTTGGCCATGTTGGCAGAGTTTAAATTCACAATTCTTAGTGGAGATTTCATTTTCAAGTTTTTGGTTACATTTGTATCTCTCTCTGTTTCCAATCTTCCATGAAAGATCAAATTTATGTGAGGGCCTGGGGAAACCTTTGTATATCATTGTATATATTCCCAATTCTTTATTTTTAACTGACATTGTCATAAGTCATGAAAATTTCCGATATACTGTACATGTTTATTCATCAAAACTTCGTCTATCAAAGCTTACATGTTGATATGAAAATAAGAAGATGCGGTATGATTTTGAATGAGACAACTATCTTCCAGAAACTAAATGATGTAGATGAAAGCAACTATAAGCCACTGTACAGACTTCGACAATGAGCAAACCCATACATGTACAGTGTAGCTATATATAGTAAGCTATTTAAAAGGCCCAGACATGACAAAATGTGAAATGGTTAATCTATGTAGAAAACAACAAACGAAAAACAAATATTATAGACAGCAATAAAGAATAAAATTTTAAGGTGATAATTGAAGGAAGTTACGAAATGTAGCACATTATCCTAAATACATCAAAGAACACTTATATAATAACATATGTACCAAGAGCATGTATTGTACACAAATGCATTTAAAAATATTAATATGCATTTATGTAAATCTCTAATGCATTTCAAATCTTACCTAGAATACAAATATTTTTGAAATGCATTTGTGCAAATTGTGCACATTACAATTTACAATTACATATGTATTAATGCATGAGCATAATACTTAAAACCTATTGTATAAATTTGATTTTGAACTTTTGTTTCTTACGTTCAATTGCAACATAAAAATAATAAAAAAAAATAATTTGTTCACCTTATTTAATCATTGGAACGTAATAGTTCAACTCAAATAATAGACATACAAGATATAATGTCTATTATTTGACCTATAAATCATAACTAAACGTTTCTGTTTGTTTAAACTTCTTGGTCCATTACACATAAATAGGCCAAAATAGGTAGTTGTAACTACCAAATTCCATAAACTTTATAAATAGTTTATCTAATGGGCCTCATTTAATGGGTCACTGAGTTATTGTAAACTAAATATCCCACTATCATTGTGTATTTGGTTGATAACACTATCTTGTATATCTCATGATTGAGGTAATTATCGCTTGAAATTAGCAATTAAAATCTATCCATACTATGTCGTCTTGTACAATCACCTTTCAATGATGAATAAAATTGAGAATGGAAATGGGGAATGTGTCAAAGAGACAACAACCCGACCACAGAACAGACAACAGCAGAAGGCCACCAACAGGTCTTCAATGCAGCGAGAAATTCCCGCACCCGGAGGCGTCCTTCAGCTGGCCCCTAAACAAATATATATACTAGTTCAGTGATAATGAACGCCATACTAAACTCCAAATTGTACACAAGAAACTAAAATTAAAAATAATACAAGACTAACAAAGGCTAGAGGCTCCTGACTTGGGACAGGCGCAAAAATGCGGCGGGGTTAAAACATTTTACAATAACATATCATTATACTTTGAATGGGAGGCACCATAAATATATTGTAGATCAGGAAATCTAACAAATTTGAATATGACACAATATACATGTATAACATATGAATCTACATTTGTATATACAACAAAACAAATTCTTAATTGCCAATTTGGGCACTGCTAGAGGCAGTGTTGTAAAAAGGCCAAAAACTTAAGTCTAAATAAGTAAAAAAAAAAAAGATTAGAAAAAAATAAGCATTGTGTATAAGTTGCACAACATTTGGTTGAGGCTAACTTAAGTTAAGAGAACAGAAACGAAAAATTCAACAATTTTTCCATTAGTAAACGAACATAACTCTAGAACTGTTAAAGTGACACCACCAAAATTCCAACTTGATCTGTATTTTGTGGTAATAAGCATTGTGTGTAAGTTTCATAACATTTGGTTGAGGCAAACTAAAGTTAGAGAACGGAAACGAAAAATTCAGCAATTTTTCAATTTGTAAACAGGCATAACTCTAGAACGGCTAAAGTGACACCACCAAAATTCAAACTTGATCTGTGTTTTGTGGTAATAAGAATTGTGTATAAGTTTCATAATATTTGGTTGAGGCAAACTAAAGTTAGAGAACAGAAACAAAAAATTCAACAATTTTTCCATTTGTAAAGGGGCATAACTCTAGAATGGTTAAAGTGATGCCACCAAAATTCAAACATGAACCATGTTTGTGGTAATAAGCATTGTGTATAAGTTTCATAACATTTGGTTGAGGAAACCAATTTTGGGACGTATGGACAAGGGTAAAACTTGATGCCCCCTCCTGGCCCTCCACTATGGTGGGGGCATAAAAACACAAAAATACAACACTATTTATATATATAATTGACAGTTTTCAAAGTAACTATGAACTTTGAGACAGTGGATGAAGACATGATGACATACAAAAGTCCAGAAGAATTAAATTTGCCAAATTGGTCCAGAAAAAATTCAAAGATTTCTGAAAGTCTGCTATATATGAACAATGTTGTAAATGACTAATTACACACTAAAACAACGTTTTGGACCTGGGTCCCATAAATGGCATTTCCATAAGATTTCGGACCCTTTAGTTTGTAATAAAGTAACTTACATGGTGACTAGTCTCATTGGAAATCATACCACATCCGTTATTTTTATACTGTTGCTGGAAACATGACAAATTAAAATGAACTGCAGATCTGAAGTGGACACCACATCTGTGATATTCATTTGTGCCCAGGCCAACCTTAAAAAAATTGTTTTTACCTTACATTTGTGACTTTGTTTACATGTACATACATGTACATGTAGATTGAAAATTTCTTTATTTCAAAAATGAATACATACATTGTACAACAAGCATACATGTATTTCAGAAATAGCCACATAAGCAACTAAAAATCATTAAAAAAATATTTTATGGATATCTTGTCTGTAAGGAGAAAAAAATTGATAGATTTTTTTTTTTTTTTTGCATTTAATTCTCAATGGCACTAAGAAGATGTTATAATGGATGTAACTGCAATCTGACTTTCTGGGAACACTGAAACAGAAAGATGACTGAAATGCCTTTATTTGTTCATTTCATTCATGTATGGTTTTACATGTATATATCTAAAGCAGAATAAAACATACACATCTGTCTCACAAAAAGTTTCATCCCTTATCATGCTTATACACATTTATCAATTTGGATGTCATGTTTATAGATATTTAAAAACCATGACCAATACATGTATATACATCAAACAGATAAGTTCAAACCAAAAGTAAATTATAAACTTCCCTCAGGAAGCGATACAAGGCAAAGCTTCTGTACAAAGTTTATTTTGAAGTTTTGCTTCCTGCATCAAACTTTGAATGCATGCGCATGCATCTCTTATGACTTATTTACTACCTTGGTTGAGTTGGTAGACTCTTTGTATTAGAAGCCTTTTCTCAAATCTAGTATTGTCAGAAATTTCCCCTTCCTTCATTCGGAATGTGTTAATAATGAAAAAACATGTGTATATATATATTGTACATGAATAATATTGTTAACATACATGAAAGCTTTAACTCTTGAAACAAATACAAAAATTTAGCCTAGTTCGACAAGTGGTGTCAAACATCCCCTCTATAAGCCTGATTTTTTTTTGATTTTTATCACATCTGCTTTGAGATTCCATAAGCATCAAACATAGATAAATGGTTACCTATAACAAACTATTCAAAGAAATATTTTACCATTAATCCTCACATGGGGTAGCCCACTCCTGCTTTCATTTGCTTTAGTGGAGCCTTTACTATAGGGTTAGGGTTTCTGTTTAGGTTTAGGCAAGGATTTGTTTTAAATAAGGTTATGGTTAGGGTAAGATCAATAGTACATTACCCTGTACCATGTGTTTATTTTACAACTGGTACACAACTTACCTAAAGCTTCCACCAACTTCACCATAACACCACCCATGTGAAGGTCACCTGTCACCCTTAGGGTCCTCTCTACAGCTAAGTCAGTCACTGTTATATTTAATTCCCAAGAACCATCCATAGCCATTTTCCTTGATGGTTACGAATATAGAAATAAAATCACACTAATCCGGAAATATTTTAGGCTGGGTCAAAACGGATGTGTATAAACTTTTTACTACATAATCCACGGTAGGCTTTTCCTCCAATTTTCAGCTTCCCATCTGTTCCAATATAAAAACGAAAGTATATAGATTTCCAATTAAAAACGAAACTATATCTTATAAATGCGAAATCAGATAAATATTTCAACAACACACATAGGGCGATTGTATTACAACTTTTTATAGGTCAAATTCTGGCAATGGCCGATCCCGTACTTTATAACTAAAGGACTGATTTTGTTTTCTACTCACCATTTCATTAATACTTGACAAAACTTGATTTGATTTCCGGTTGTAATTCCAGATAATGATGAAGTTAAAGCACTCAAGCAAGTCCAAAGTTAAAAGTAAACAATACAATGTTCGTAATTCATTTCTCAATTTATGACTCAAACTTTATCAACTTCCCTATTTGGAGCGCACTTACCATGTACATGAAACTTTTTTGTAAGATTCGTTCTGATTGGATGATATTTTTATCGACACTGGGGGTGTCCCAGATTTTCTATTTCCATTTAATCTTCTTTCCCCGAGAATCCATCAAATCGTTGCTTTACCTTAGAAGTAAAATTAAACCATATTTCGAAAATGAAAAAAACTCAGAAAAATTAAAATTATTACACATTGCAATCAGAATAGCGGCTTTATTTGCTGGGAACCCAACATTCCATTGCTGCAGTTGTCCAATGAGATGTTATTTTGTTTTGTAAAAGGAATTCCAATGTCAAGTGCCTTCTTCGACGTCCGCACGGGTTACTTTTGCATTTTTGTCCATTGTTTAATTTTTTTCAATTTGCAAAGTAAATAACATTAAGATTCGCGTTTGTACTAATCATACACCATATTTTATTAGTATAAAGAGAAGAAAAAAATAAAAGTAAAAAATTGCAAAAAAGAGGGACATTTGCCACATCACATTGCTCGGAGTAGCAACCCCTATATGTATAAAGTTTTTTTTAAAATAACCTGGTTGACTCTATATCTGTATATATGATTGTTTTATCTGGAACTGATACAAAGAATCTATTAGTAGTTAGTATTAGTTAGTATAATAGTCCCAGGTTTTATGAATGTTTTGTCAAGGATTTGTATAGATTTATACTATACAAATCCTTGGTTTTGTCTGGGAACAGTATATCTAATCAATATATGTTCCTGGTTTTGTGAAGTATATTTAATGTTTTTTTATAGGACCAAATCATCTTGTATCTAGTGACTGCCATCTGGGAACAGTATATATATATGTTCCTGCTGCCATCGACATGCTGCAGTTTGTCATTTGTGCTACAAGTGGCTTAGAAAAACGTATTTACCCAAAATTTATTATATGTTCGAGGTGTATTGAGACTACTGTAACACAGCTATAGTAGTTTCAGGTTTGCACCATATTTTCAATTTAAAACTTTCATTGATATAAGGGAGCAACTATTTAACTTCAAGGGGGAGGGGGCTATGATTTTTTGTCTGAGTCAGAATTTTTTTTTCGTGCAAAGTGCAAACATTTTTTTTTTATTTTTTCGTCGCTATCAATCAAATTATTTTTTTCAAAATTTAACACTATAAAGTATGGAGGAAATCTGGATTCAGAATCTTTTTTTTTTGTCATTTGCTTCACCACAATATTTTTTTTCATCAAATTGGGGATCACAATATTTTTTCAGGAAAAAACCATACCCTCCTCTTTGGAAGTTAAATGGTCGTTCCCTGAAGTATTTTGTATTTTCTTTTATTCTAAGTTCAGCTTAAAACTGTTTGGGGTATCTGAACTTTTCTATAGATGGCATGTGAAGCATGACTGTTCATAATTGTCACAAAATATCATCCATATTGATCTATTCAATTTTGTTTTTACTATGAAGTATTGACTCAACATTTGAATATCATTTTACAATTTAAAACTGGTTGCAAGAAATATGTCACCCACTCACAAATGACATGGTTTGTTGTAACAAAAACTCTCTCTCTCATTAACAAAAATCTTCAATTGACAATCCTTCAGATTGTTAGGAAGGAGAGATACTAGGTCATTCATAAAAATTGTCTTGCATCATTTAATAGGCATACTCATATCAACAGAATCTTAAATATTCTATGGTTAATTCACACATCTTATAATAGAATGATTTATGTCACTGCTGTTCATTACCTGTTGCAGAAAAAGCAAAATCATTATACATAATTTCTGCAGCGAAAAAATACAACTTTTACCTCAGTGATGTTTTGTCTGCTTTTTTTTTATAATTTTTTCCCTCTTTCTGTTCTTGAAACATTCTTTTATAGATTGAAGATAAATGCAGTTTTTAATAAAAAAAAAAAGAGTATAAATAAGTTTTGCTTATAGCTTGGCATAAAAGATTGTCTTAAAAATGAGTAATGACTTAACTTGCAGTGAGGTGAGTTTTTTTCTTTGCTCAGTGTTGAAGGCCTCACTGTGACTCTGAGATGAAGAACAGCAATAAAAGCATGTACTGATTTTGTGTCATGGATGGATATAGCCCATATCCTTTGTTTTCCTATCAATCAATAAGTTTTGTTTATAACTTGGCATAAAAGGTAAAAAACTGTCTAAAACAATTACGTGTCTTTCTGATAACCTGACTCAGGTTGACCAAAATTCTTAGTTCCTACCTTAAATATTTTTTGTCATTTTTGAACAAGCTTTATGGAAGGCAGATTGTTTCTCCTCTTCAAACCAGTTTAAAACCTTTCACAAAATAAAATTCTTTGCCTACCTACCAACCAAATATTTTTAGAATGTGTGCAGATATTTAGGTATAATATTTTGGCCTGACTTTAAATTCTAGTTCATTTTTAGCACTGATGGGTTCTTGCTCTCCCTACCAGGACCTTTTAGGTTATAAGTACTGTAAATTTTGTGTTTTTGTTCAACATAAGCATCAGACATGTAACAAGCTTCAGTTATTTGTAAACTCAACAATTTGGGAAATGACCTTACATCTACCAAAAAACTTTCCATTTATTTATTTATTACCGAAATGAATAAAATAGTCCCTATCAACAAAAAAAGTTTAAGAACCCTTAAATGTAGACTGTAAATTTTTATGACGAGAAGGAGAAAAGTAGATGATAAGTAATTTTAGAGGACAAATCTCTTGCGTTATTTTAAAATAACATTTTTTATGCTAATCACACAAATCATTAAATGTTATTATGTTTATAGGAATATCATCTTTTACCAAATGATGTGACTAAATTTAAGAATAAATTATTAAATGATGTTTGACTAAATTAAGAGTACAAGTTACTAAATGCAATTTGACAAAATGAATAGTAAAATGACCTTATAAGAGAGGTTATTTATTATGCATTTATTAAGGTTCAAAATGCATAGGTATTCAGGGGCGGATTCAGGCAGGGAGCGTGGTGGGTGTTGGCCCCCCCCCCCCCCCAAAAAAAAATAATTTGCAAAGCATGGGTTGTCCTCAGCTTAATAAAGAATATTTCGATAATTTTGCGCCCCCCCCCCCCCCCCCCCCTTAAACCTAAAATCCTGGATCCGCCCCTGGTATTAATACCACAGCAGGACAGGAAAGGTTTTCACTTGATAGAAATCATTAAACTTATCTAAACTTGGGGTACAATAGTCACAATTTACATCGTGCCATGCAATGCAGGTAATTGTAATACTGAATACCTTAGGGTGACCTCTAGATGTCCAATATTTTTTTTATCTTCTGTTGTCAGGATGCTGCCCAATTAAAATTTACCATACATCTACTTTTATTCATTCAAGGCTGAATCAGGAACAAAATGGTGTTTACAACAATTTACTAGTAACTAAGATTGTTAATATCAAAGCCTATTATTCTTGACTCCTGTTTATATTTATAACTATACTAAATTAGTAGCTGTATTTTTCATGGACTAAGTGATTGTGACAAGCTGCAAATAAATTTATGTCTGCCTTCTCATAGCTACTCATGTAAACAAGATATGGATTGGCACACTTCACAAGACAGTATGAATAAATTATAAAGTATATTTGGTAAACTGACAATTGTTTAAATACCTACTTATAAATAAATGTATATGTTATTGTTTTTATCTAGTATATAGATTTAGGCCATGTGATAAATTTCACTGTAAAAGACTACTGTAACTACTAAGATTATTGCCTGAGTGCCTACAAACAATGCAAAATATTTCTACATGCATAAAAATAGGATCCTTTATCAAGAATTGATATGAAATATTTTAAACCAAATATTGGTCAGTGTCCTTTTGGCACAATTTTAATGTGTGTCTGCTCATGTTCCACTCTGGATCAAACACATGTGAATTCTGTTTGAAATCTATTACTACATGTACCAGTGGTAGGTGTGGGGTTGTGTAAATGGCCTTTACTTGCTTGTGAATCCCTCACACCATTTGAGATATAAGTGTTACCTCATTTTTTGCCAGCAGGGTACAAATTGTGGATAACTTTATTTATAGGAATGCTCATTATTCAAGGCTGCAATTCCATAAGACATTAATCAAATACATGTAACAATCATGAAAATGTAGAATTTCATCATAAAATGGTGAACAGGTACAAAATGAAAACTTAGCTTCCAATGTTCTTGGGATTGGCAAATCCGAATCATTCAGATATTTGAAGAACTAACAATTCATCTTGTAATGATTTTTTCTTAGTCCTAGCAGAGACATGTATCTGGTCCTAGGGATCTAACTTAGTAAAAGTAGACCCAAGGAGAACAAGATACAAACCTAATTGTCAACTTCTTATAAGCTACATACAAATAGCAGCTCAATAATTAAAATGTTATATTTCAGAATAAACTGTTATCACAGAGATATGTCTCGCCTTTTTGTAATTTTGATAATGCAAATGTTGAAATTAAAATAGCAATACTTTAACATGTAAGTTATGCAAATATTCAAAGTCGATGAACCATGACTGAAGGTACATGGCTAAACAATCTCCATGGAATGAGATGTGCCAATGCTAATACAACTGCATACCAAATACCATTGACTTATTATAAGTCGTTCCCTTTAAACAAACCTAAACACAAACATTAACTTTAAACTATGTAAAAGTTTCAAAGTCAATGAACCATGATCAGGGGTGGGGCTATATAATCTCCATGGAAACGATACTTGCAAATGCCAATAAATTTGCATACCAAATATCATTGACTTAACATTAGCAGTTCATCTTAAACTGATCTAATCACAAACTAATACATGTAAACTATGCAAAAGTTTCAAAGTAAATAGACCATGACTGAGGGGGAGGGGCAAAATATTCTCCATGGAAATGAGATGTGCTAATGCTTATACAACTGAACACCAATTAACATTGGCCTACCACTAATGGTTCCCCTTGAACTGACCTAATCACAAACTAATACATGTTAACTTAGCAAAATTTTCAAAGTCTATATACTATGACTAAGGGGGCAGAGCCAAATAATCTCCATGGAAATGAGATATGCCAATGCTTATACAACTGCATATCAAATATCATTGACCTACCACTAGTGGTTCCCCATAAATTGACCTAATCACAAACTAATACATGTAAACTATGAAAAGTTTCAAAGTCAATAGACCTTGACTGAGGGGGCGGGGCCAAATAATCTCCATGGTAATGAGATGTGCCAATGCTAATACAACTGCATACCAAATATCATTGACCTACCACTAGTGGTTCACCATGAACTAGACCTAATCACAAACTAATACATTGTTGATGCCGCCGACGCCAGAAACAGCATACCTATGTCTCGCTTTTTGACTCCGTAAAGGCGAGACAAAAATGGAATAAAAGACAAGCTTCGGGGCCGTGGTTGGCTGCCAACATAGAGTAAACAAATCAGACCTTTTATACACTTTTTAATTTTTATAGACTAAACCATTCTCACATTTTTTTTCTGCAGTCAAACTATTATTCTTTCTGAAAAAAAGTCACATATTTAAAAGTGGAGAATTTTCTGTATAAAAATCTGACCAAATTATATTACTTTTATCATTAGTTCACAAATGAAAATTAATGCAGTATCATTTTCTATAAAAAAAAAAACAACAAATTATACATTATATAAAGACTATATATATATATCTTTATCAAAAATTGTGTGTTCATCTACTATTTCTGGATATACACTTGAGTATAAGCCGACTAAAATGAGAACATGAATTGTAAATTTCTTTGAAACAAGATTTAAATTAAACTTGTGAAGGTAGAAATATAAAAAGTTTTTGCAGAAATATATAAAATTATCACTTGCGTAATATACAGTAAAACTTATTTAAACGGGACCACTTTAGGAATGAAGATTTTGTCCACATTAGAAATCGTCCCATACCCGTGTTTTGTTTACACAGTTTAAATTACTAAAGAATATTTACAGTAGGTCCTGATAAAAGAGATCAGTTAATTAGGTTTCCATTTTACCGTGAGTTCAGATAAGACAGCTTCCACTGTATTTCTTTAATAATATTTTTAGTTCAAGTATTTACTTAAGGATATTTAACAAGAAATATGCAATTTGATAAAGTTCCTCTTACCTTAAATCTGTAGGCGAGTAATCAACTATTTTTACTACATATAAATTTCCAATTATGGTGTGTCAGGATTGAATAAATAACAATATAGAGAGAGGGTGATTCAATTTAATACTACAACAAGTAAAAAAACATACATACATAACAATTGTATACCAAGTCTGTCATTTCCATTTCATAAAGTTATTAAATATATCACAGTAGAAGATTATTATGACACTAATGTTACAGTAATGAAAAATGATGTTTCAGTTGCTTTAATAAATCTTTTGAGTCAACATGGTCTTGGAAAGCATCCACGGCTCTCTTAGCTGCATTATAACTGCTCTGTAGATCACCCAACTGAAAAAGATTAAAAATTATTTTGATATGAATAGCATTAGATTTTTCCTTATAATCAAAGTAGAAAAACCATGAATTTATACCCTCTGCTTCCTGTATCTGAAAATCAAGTTACTAGTTAGGAAGACTAACATTTCAAACCAAGGGTTATGTCGAAAAGGAGGGAGCCAGATCGTTACCCTTGGCTAGCAAAGATGGAGTACTAGGCCCATTACTATTTTCAGAAATGATTAGGGTTAATGCAATGCTATGGGAAACCGATAAAAAAATATAAAATAGGAAATGCACAATAGTTTCATAAAGATTCTACAAATTTTACACTGAAATCTGCCAAGTTGTCTATGGACATTGACATTGTAACGGTACATTATTATTATGTCATAACTGAACGTGCTTTACTATTTCTGCAACAGTTTAGTCACAAAATCAAAGACGAATGTGTCCATGGAATTCAAGAGATTTTTTTTTAAAATAGAACAGCCTGAGAAGGCACACCTGTAGTTCACTTGACATGCTTGGATATATAAGCTGTGAACTTTTACTGCTATAAATAGAGGCTTCACTGTGACTTTGAGATGAAGAAAAGCAATGTCAGTGCTGCACCTTTGCTTTGGGATTTATCAAGTGTTTATAGGGATCTTTAGTCCTGAATTATCAATTTACATATCATACCCCCATTTTCTGTTACAATGTTACTTAAGTTTTTATCAGGTGTGTATGGGGATTTTGAGTCCTAAATTTACACTCCATTCCAGCTTTTGTCATCTACAATGTTACTTAGATGTTATTAAGTTATTTTTTTTGCTGTAAAACATACAGCACTGCACTTGCATTTTCAAAACAGCAAAGAAGAAAAGTAAATATTTGAATGTTCTTAGAATACTGTAATGAGACTAGCTGTAGTTTGAGTCATGAATAGTATGAACAAACTTACACACCATATAAAAATTAGAAGATGTGGTATGATTGCCAATGAGACAACTCTCCACAAGAGACCAAATGACACAGAAATTAACAACTATAGGTCACTGTACGGCCTTAGCCCCTTTTTCTGTTTCAATGTTACTTAAGGTGTTATAAAATAAATTTTTCACTGTGAATCCTGCAATGCCTTTGCATTTTCTATGGAACAAACAAGTCACAATTTTCATAGAATGCTGGAGAAGGACTGTAGTTTGAGTCATCAATAGTAAGAACAAACAATTCTTCAACTTAATGCATCAAACTGTTTGATTTGATGGATTATTATAGCTTGTAATCTTGACAAACAGGATTCATGAAGAATAATTTCATATTTACTAAGAGATATCAAAATCAATAGACACTATCATTTTTGAAAGTGTTCAATAAATTCATTTTGAAAAGAACAAATTTTTTCATTGATCAGATTCATATAAGAGTTAATAAACATTCTTTCAAATTCTCATCCCGTGAAAAAAATCTAACGATTAATGAAGTGTCTTTAAAGACAAGATTTTCCTCCCATTCATTTGATTCAATGATTTTTTACCAATTGATCACATTTAGATAAAAAAGACTATTTAATTTAATTATTCAAAAGAAAGCTATGATGTGCTATAATGAGGCAATTTTCAAGTAAATGCTTAATCAACCTTAGGATAAATAGATTTCACTGGTCAATCACTTCTTATAACCTATGTTCTACAAATAAGAAGGTTTTTTGATCTGCTGAGACAAGTAAGAAGACACCTGGATGGGTTTTTGATATTTAGAAATTGAAATATTCAGGTGCAGAACATGTTCTCAGTACAGTCAAACCTGCTATAAATGTTTGTCTATAAAGAAAAAAGCTGTCATGTCAACCTCTTCTTGTCTGGCTGTAGTTTGACCTATAAATTTTTAACCTCATTTCAAAGGTCACTTCTCTTATAAGGTCAGTTTGCTTTAGTCAATATATCATACAGGTTGGACCACTATGGATAACACCAAGAAGAGATATAAGGTACTCTGGAAGAGATAACTGATCCTGGTAATCAGTTCTATTAGTTAAGGAATTAGTAAGGTCAGAGGTCAACTACTTATTTTTTTGCAAGTTACTGGCAAACATACAAGTGAACCATGTTGAATTTGCCATATTTGCTTATCTCCCTTATTTACATACAACTATTTTTGAAATTTTAGTCTTTCTGCAAGTCCAATAATTCCTTTTTTTTAACTCATGAGTCTTTTGAGATCACTGATTTTGGTAATGTTGGTAAAAACTCCATAATCTTTTTTAATGCAAAAATGTATAGGCTTATTAAATGCTGTGTAGAGTAAACTGGACTAATTGCTAAAAAAAAATGCACCATTAAACATGGAGAAAGAATAAAACATCAATTTGATTAAGAAACTAAAAATTCATTAGTTTTATGTAATTTATTAGCTATTTTTGAAATAATTCATTTTCACACTGGAAAAAAAAGAATAAAAACCTTTTATCTTGATTAAAAAATAAGACTAACACAGCCCTTTTATTCTTTAATGGTCATTTTACGTCCAATAAATTTGATTTAGTGTTTTAAATGAAATTGCTTAGTTTCATTTGTACATTTTTAATTCACTTTCAAGTACATTTTCTTTGATAAAAACTTCGTCACCAATAATTCTAATAAATATTTTGATAATAATGTTCAGATTTATTGCAATAATTGAATATTTTTGGATAATGTTGTAACAAAGAAAATCCAATAATTATCAATAAACTTTACCAAGACATGTGGATATTTTCAGCATTATTAGCCAAAGATCTTTGTTAATGCAAGACCAATTCACTAATATTGAATAATTGTATTCCTCAGACAATTTGTATTAATGGCGTATAAACGATGACAATCAACCCGCCAACCCCATTATTACATTTATTCCTTCGCAGGAAGAGAGGAAGTTGTTCTCTGTTTGATTACGGCAATTTAAAACTTGACACCAAATTTAGTTGTAAATACTCGATATCACAAAGTAAAAACAATTACAGATGTTATATGACAAGGATATTGAATGGATCAAAGTATAAACAGTACTGTAATGCAATGGTCAATATATTGATTATATTCTGTGAATATTTCACAATCTTTAATCATTTTACATCCAAAACAACCAACATTATATCTAGATTAGCATGGCTGTAATGAATTTTGATCATTTTCACTAACCTAAAAGAAAAAGAAAAGTCTGTCCCTTCTAAAATGTTATTTTTGCATGCTCCTTTAGCTTGACAGGGAAATCGCCAATTGTAATATCACATTTGTGTGTAATGTTGTACCTTACCTTGGAAACATACATGGTAATTTTCATCCCCCATTTATGATCTTAGGCTATTCCTTTGCAGTGAAATTGCTGCAAATTCATTCTTTTTTTCTGGCTGTTAGTCAGATGTATTCAAATTTTAATCATCTAAATTTGGGTTGACATGACATTAAGCAATCATCAATCAATCAAACAAAGTTCAATAGAAATAGCTGCTGAAATAAATTTGCTCTGGAATTCAGGTACATGAAGATTTTGAACAGATATATCATGTTATGGAGGGGTATTTGCGAAAAATACCAGTCAAGGGACGGTGAAATTTCCCAAGCTGCTAGGCGAGGGAAATTTGGTCCCAAGACTGATACACTCAATGTAGAGTACATAACGACCAAAGTTGGCATTACTGGTATTTTCCATCCACTCACCCCAATTTGATTTTTATAGTATAACACTGTTTATATCCAAAATATGCAACATGACAGAAATTACATTTCAAGTTACCTCCAGAATTATTCAACAACAAAGAAGAACTCCATGAGAATATTTCTGATGAGATTTTTTTTAGAAAAATTCGTAAGGGGTTCCACTGTGTCTTGCCTACGATTGCTGCTGTCAGTGTAAAAGTGTAATGTTGACTTAAAGAGTGAGTACATTTATCAGTAAAATACAGAATTTTTAATCTTTAGATGCTATTTCTTGGTCTTGAAGATAAGCTTCTGTCCAAGTTTCATGTCAAATTTTTTTTATCCCAGACTGTCTGTAAATGTTAACTGTAAAACACTAATTAGTCCATCTATCAGAAAAATACTGAAAATGAAAATATATTTTCAAAAATTTGCATCACACATTATCTCTTTTAAATCATTAAAAAGCTTCTGCCAAAGTTTCATAAAATTCTATGAAGGTGTGACAAAGTATTTGATGTGTAACAAACTTTAACCCCAGACCGTATCCACTTGTTAACTGTAAAATAAACTAAGTCCATTTATCAGTATTTATTAAAATAGGGAAAAATGAAAATAAATATTTTAAAAATTTTGCTCTGGATACTGAATTTTGGTCATAAACAAGCTTCTTTCCAAATTAAAAAAAAATTCCATGAAGGTTTGACAAAGTTATTGATGTCTAAAAAAACTTTAACCACAGACTGTCTGGCTTTCGCAGGCTCGACAAAAATGACTGTCAGTGGATGACACTGATCTATTGTTGAAGACAGTTAGTTGACCTTGTAGTCTTTTAGTTTTATAATGTCATGGAAATGCTGTCTCATTGGCCTTAAAACAACATCTTTTGACCATAGACGGACTTGGCTATTGTTTTTAGGTCCTTTTTGTTCATATAGCTTTTCACCTTTTTCAGTTTTTATACATCCTTGGTTTTCAAATTTTTGGCTCTGAGAGTTCCCGATGAAGGTTAATCCAGAACTTTGGACACATAAAATTTTTAAAGTGTTATTTTCATTTTTAAAATGCTGTCTAATATCTGACTTTAATTAGATATAAGAAGATGTGGTATGAGTGCCAATGAGACAACTCTCCATCCAAGTCAAAATTTATAAAAGTAAACCATTATAGGTCAAAGTACGGTCTTCAACACGGAGCCTTGGCTCACACCGAACAGTAAGCTATAAAGGGCCCCAAAAGTTACTAGTGTAAAACCATTCAAACCGGAAAACCAACGGTCTAATCTATATAAAAAACGAGAAACGAGAAACACTTATGAACCACATCAACAAACGACAACTACTGAACATCAGATTCCTGACTTAGGACAGGTGCAAACAAATGCAGCGGGTTTAAACGTTTTAATGGTACCAAACCTTCACCCTTTTTCTGAAACAATTCTTGATAAAGCACTTTGGAGTCAGGACACATACAATTAATAAAGTTTTATTTTCATCATTAATTAACACTACTGATTCAAGAAAACTAAATAATAGTTTTATTATCTTTTTGACTTGCACTAAATCTGTTGTGTCACAATATCTTAAAAGTGCAGTAAACTTTTATTTCAGATATGTGGTTTATAACTGTCAACATTATTTTGTTTGACCACCTTGTTTTACACTGAAATTTCTACACATTTTGTGGTAATTACTAAGATTATGTGGTAAAGACAAGGATGTCACTTGTAGTAATTTTTGTGAAAAATGTATATACATCTGGACAGATGAATCCAGGTGTGGCTGCAAAGTTGTGATGTTTTCCATCTGTTTGTATATAATTCACGTAATTTATGGTTTTCTTTTCGTCCCTCAGGCTCTCTGTGTTTGTCATTTGTTTGTTTGTTTATTCCATCTTCACCTAATTTTGTGTTATATTTTATGCAGTAAGAATGTATTTTGTGAAAGCACTATTATAATCAGGTGCAACATGTAATTATTAAAATTCAAAATAATCATGAATATTTTTTACACTTGGCATAGAACAAATTTCAAACATTTACTCTCATCTTTGTGGATTTTTTTTGGCAAGCTTTCCAATGCAGTGTCATTGTGAACATTCATTTAAGTCAATTTTCAAAAAAAAAAAAATTTCTAAGGGTAGGCTGTTTCACTCTTACAAAAGGAAAAATACTTATTTTTTTTTTAATTCTGGATGTAAAACTTAGCAAGAATCTCATCTTATGTGTTTCTAAAAATTTAAATACTTTTTTTTCAATTTTTTTATTTTTTTTTTATCTTTATTCAATTTGAACATTTATCAAAATGGCCAATTTTAATAGTTCATACATTCCATTTTTCTCGGATGAACAATAAGGCTCATAGATGTTATTCAGAGCTATTAAAGGTTGAAGTCTTACAAAAATGAAATACATTATCTTAGTGAAGTAAATTGTCTGATTTCCAATGCAAGTTAATTGCTAAAAACGAAATCATCAAATTAAGCATTCTCTGTTGAGGGACCAAATAACAATAACAAAATTAACGCACTCAAATATATCACATACCTGATCTGCTAAAGCTGCCCAATTATAATGTGGTTCATACATATGTGGCGATATTATAAAAGCTGCCTGGAAAAATGATCTGGCCTGAAAATACACAGAATATTCACTACTAAGTTGTAAAAGTATGATATCAGATTGTTGGGTTGAATGTTATTTTCTGTTCATTTGAAAGGCTTGGGGTGATCAGATTTATAATTTGAGGAAACTACTGAGCCCAAAGTGAAGCATTTAGCTTCAGCAAGTACTCTGGTTTCATTATAATTGATACCAATTTTTGTGGAATCTTGGGTAAGGGTAAACCTAAATTTTAATTGTTCAACGAAGTACACCTTTTCTATATGCTTGTATTCAGACTTGCAAAACCATGAAATCAAATATCCACAAAATACAATTGTTCCGTAATCCATGAAAATAAATGAATCAAATACCTTCAGCAAGTAGCGAACAAATCTGTATATCTAGTGTAAATAAATGTAGGACTTTCACTAAGAGTCCTACATTAAATGTAGGTCATGGTAACACTTATTAATATACTATTTATAAAAAAAATGATTAACAGTTATTGTAGCACATAGGTTATACTATACATTTTCAACTTTTATTTCAAATGGGGAGAAAAATGCATTAATTTTATTCTTTGTAAGGGAAATAATATTACCAATTAAAAATGAAAAGCTAGCTGTCATTTTGAAAAAAAGAATTTCTCAAGATTTTAAAATAAATTGTATAATATTTCAAATTAATGTTTACTTTTCATGACAAGACTACCATTACACACCTTGCACCAACTGTAGTTCGAATAAAAAACTTGTTCAGACAAAAAACTTGTTATTACTATATTAGGAACCTGGTATATTCTTTTTTTGTATAAATAAGTCATACTCTGTATTCAATAAATAACAGTATCAAGCCTTAAGGTGCAATTTTGACATAAACAATTAATAATATCTGTGTATTAAATGTACAATAAATCTTTTCACCTGTATACTTGCTACCAAAAGAGTAATGTACCGTGCCACACTTTGTATGGGTCATGATGTAACGTCATATCAACGCAATGTTTGTTAATTTCAAAAGAGACAGCATTTATAGTTTAGTAATGTCGTCATTACGATCTTTGATGTCACCTTGAACCTTGCATGACAGAAGTTTGAGGTTCGGTCTGATATTTAATCTTTTATTATGAATTAACATCATTTAATCTTGTCATGCATTACATGTATACTTATAGTACATGTAACTGTTTGAATTTCGTATTTATGACAGCAATCTATGTTTTGAACTTGACCCCACTTAAAAAGGTCAAAAGGTTTAAAAAACATTTTTTAATTGAATGAGCATTTTTTAAATTATGATAGTAAACATAAAAGAAGACAAACAAACATGGAATTTAAACTATAAAACTGGACACAAAACATTTGATGAATTTATAGTTCTGTTACAAATTTAGACAAAGATTTATCAAAAATTTTAATCAAATTAGCATATGTGAGAAAAAGGCTGGAGGATAATAATGACTCACAATTGAAGAAAAATACACAAAAAATAAAAAGTAATCAATCAACACGTTATAACAGCTAAGCAAACAGCTTCATATTTGGAAATAAAAGATTTTATAAAGGTTCTATAATTTTTATCAAAATTGATTTAACAAATTGCACGAAAGGTCAATCTGTAGAACCTTTTTTTAAATTATATGCAAATTTTTAGTAATCTAAACTAATTTTTTTTGATTATGGTAAAAGGCTTCACTGTCATTAAATTTGCACGCTGGTTCTGAGGATGTATGGGAAAACTTTTTCTAATTATAAAAGATTGTTCTTTTCTTTTCAACAGTTATGTTATGAACCAAAAATATCCCAACAAACCACAAACATTGATACAGACGAAGAAAAATACCTCCACAGTATTTGGTTTTGAGCACCACTGTGAAAAACAAAGTTTTAAAATGTGCATGCAGTGCATCCAAATAGCTGTGATATCATGCCATGTAATCTTGCAAAAGCTATTGCCAGAATGTCATTTGCGTTTTCAAGTACTATAAGGGGCCTCGATGACTGAGTGGTCTAAGTAGTTCGTCAACTGTATCACTAGCCTGTAAACATTCAAACCCCCTACGTGGCAGGTGCCATTGACTCCAATCTTAATTGACTAGGATCGCCAGTTTTCCTGTCGTGGTTCTTTCTAGGGACTCTGGCATCCTAAACCAATAAAATCTGGCTGCCAAGATACAGCCAAGAGTAGCAAAAGTGTAAAGCCACCAATCAAACAATCAAATCTAGTTTCAGTTTTATCATACTATTGATAATGGATACCATTTTTAACAAAGTACCAAACATTAAACAACAGGATAAAGGAAATAATCTATTCATTTTTTAACACATCCTCTTTGGGGAATTAATCAAATTAAAAATATAATTCATATCGGAAACTGAAGATCAAAACAAATACCTTTCAAACGAATTTAATTGAAAATATATTCACTATACACCACAGAGAGTGTTTTTCACAAATAGACGACCATTAGTTTTTAATTTTCTTTCATGTTCTGATTCTGCCGATTAAGATTAATATGGTAAAAGTTTACGAGTAATCAGGAAACTAGTTTAACTCCTGAACATGTTCATGTACCTGTCCAAAGTGAGGAACCATGTTTAAATGGGTGTGTTTAGGTATACTTAAAGAACTTGGTGTTGATAGCAAAGCTTTGGTAGTCTCTTTTTAATTCATTCACAAAATTTTTGTGAATTGAGGAGACCACACCACATCTCCTTAATATGGTAATGGGCTTAAAGAGCTACTATTTCTTTTCCTTCAAAAATAGGGGCAGCCCTAAGTCTGCAATTTATAGGGGACCCTTTGAACAATGGACCAGAAAAGTCTGTTGGACCTTGATAAAACAGAGGTAAATAATACTTTTGTATAAATATATCTAAAAATGATACAACAATCACAATCAGCCTCCCCTACTTGCGATGGACTGAGCTACTTACAAAAATGAAAACTTGTCAATGGATTGATCCTAGTAAGCATTATTGTATAATGCAGTGGCAGATCCAGGGGGAGGGGGGTTTCCAGGGGTTGACCCCCCTTTTTTTGACTCTCAATGCTTTTGAATGGAGACATATGGCTGGGAACCCCCCCCCCCCCCCCCCTTTAAAAATGGATGGATCTGCCCCTGTAATGACGGAATCTGCTGATGTTTTTTGATAATCCAAACTCCATGTTTGTAGCATGATGCAACACTAAAAACATTACTTAGCCTATTATTCTAAGGAAACAAAATAGTGGTAACTCTTTAATATTGTGATAATGCAATTTACATAAATGCCTTGTAATGAATATTTTTTATATTTACCTGAGTTGCCTATCAAATGAATAAGTGCAAATGTTATAAAATTCTGTGCACAATCGTAAAAAAAAATAATTCTTAAATGCACCCCTAAAATGACAGAATAAGGGTACAATTTCAGCAAATTTAACCCCTGTCAATGTTCTCCGTCTTTCTGTGAAGTTCAAGGCAATATTAAAATTGTAATAACTATTCAGAACAATCACATTTGACTTTATACTAATCATACATTGACATTTATTGTAAAAACAATCACTTTGTACAAATTAGATAATTACTTCATATGTATCTACTTGTTATTTGAGAGTAATTTATTAGTTTTTTATGTGATTTTGTACATACAATACTGAAGAAGGCTGTCACTTAAGTTTACTTCAAGTGTCAATCGTTTAAAATATTTTAAGTGTTTAATCCTGTAAATCATGAATTGTGGTCAGAGGTCCAACATCAATGTTTCATCTCATAAATCATGAATTCTTGTCAGTGGCCAGAAGAACATCAATAAAATGCAAAGTGTTTTTATCCTATAATTCACGTCATCAAAATTGTGTCATGCATAAAGTCATGAAACATCTCAAATAGTGTCTGCTTTATATCACGTAAAACTTCAGTGGATACACTGCAAGGAGAACCAATGATAGACTACCGTACACTGATTTAAAAAAAAAAATACAATATAATTTTGCCTACCAGATTTCTTCTATAAAATACAAGTTCATCTAAGTACCTTACAAACTTAATCTTTAACCTACTTAATGTTTTGTACCATGCATTAGATAAACTCAGTATACATTGTTAACCTTCAGTTTATTTTTCTGGTCTTCTTATATCTTGCATGTAAAAATCAGGGTACAAATATACCATATGCAACTGATTTCATTGGAGTAAAAGTAGAAATGTAAAATATGTTACTGACATCAACCCCGAAAAAAACCAAAAATATCATCTAGACTTAAGCACATACATTTGATATAAACAGACATCAAATGAAAAAGAAATATATATACATGCATTATGTAGTAATCTTACCAAATCTATGTGGCCTTTCCTCAGTTCTAAAACACCTAAGTTGTTATAGGCTTCTGCATGATCGTTATTATTGGCTAAAGTTAGGCGAAAACATTGGTAGGCAAGATTCATGTCTCCTATACCCTAAAACAAAAATATATGAAAAGTCTGTCAAAAACATTGGTAGGCAAGATTTATGTCTCCTATACCCTATTACAAAAATATATCTAAAGGCAGACGAAAATTATAGTAGACAAGATTCATATCTTCTATACCCTATAACAAAAATGAATCTAAAGGCAGGCGAAAACATTGGTAGGAAAAATTCATGTCTTGTAGGGACTTGTACCCTAAAACAAAAATTTATCTCATCAGGCAAAAAATATGATATGGATATGAGCTTACAATGGCTGAAATTTCGCATGAATTTCATATAATATCTATGATACCCGTGATCATTATTGGTAAGGCCAAACATAACAGGCTTTCCTCCTATAGAAAAATAGGGTAGGTATAAAGGATTTTTTTTATTTTACTAATTTTTTTTACCTTGAATATATTGGGGCCACCTGCAATTTTGTCACTATTCATTATGAAAAGTGCCAATAAAAACTTTAAATACTGTAAATTCAGAAATTATTGCGTGCATTTATTATTGTGATTGTTTAAGAAAGGACAAAAATGTGAGGTTAATTATTGCGATTTCAGGACAACCTGCGTACAGATATATGTATCTTATATCATAATGCGAGTTCTTATTAATGCGATACTACCTCAATCGTATTATTCGCATTAATAAAACCCTCGTAATAATTTCTGAATTTACAGTAGTAAGCATTTTGAGGCATAATAAAAAGGGTAGATAAGGAAACCCTAAACAGAGTTTTCAAGCAAAAACAAAGATGAAGAACTGCTATCAAAGCACTTCTCCATTGATATATTAGTTATTTTATTGGATTTTTGTTTTTGTCTCCTGTACATCCAACCCATATCCTTCATCCTGATACAAGTTTACAAGTGTCTGTAATACCAGTCCATATACCTGATCTGTTATTGTATGCATATATAACACATGCCAATACCAACCAACATATCTGCCCTGTATGGTTAAGACTGCAATTTATCTCCTGGTATATTGGTTGGTTATTTCTAGAAGTGTCATGCTCTACATATGCTATGCAAAATGCTCACTTGGAAGTCTTATGCTTTGGACATTTTGACATTGGTCTTATCAATTTTCCAAGTCAGATTTTTACAGATAAAATTTTGTTCTGATGTTGTCCTTAAAGCACTGGCTTTGAATAATGAAATATCTAACTTATTATGTCAATTTTTGAAATACTAGAATGTTTAATATTTTCAATAATGAATTGAAAATGTTCTCCGGATTACTTACCAAGGCAATATGTCCAATATTAAACCAAACATCAGCCATTGTTTGTTCTTCTGCTAAAGACAAGGCCCTCTCAAAACATGTTAGTGTCATATCATATTGCTGAGCATAAAAACAACATAGTCCTAAATTACTGAACAACTCTGCATTATATACTCCCATCTGTAGTAAGCGTCTGAAAAATACAAAATAACCAAATTACTTAATACATCTATGTTTGATGATATTTTTTTAAGCAGACGAAATGTATTTGAAATATAGTATTCATTAATTTTCACTTTCATTCACCTGAATCTAGTTTTTACAGACAAGCGTCCTGTTTAATTCGGGATGTTTATTCCGATCCATGTGTTTTGGAGATTCCATGCTCTCTGCACTTTAACATCCCTTGAAATAATTTTAGGAAGGGTCCATAGCAGGGGTATTGCAAGGCTAAATTTCTAGTACTACTCGTCACACACTCCCTTTTTGTGGCAGTCTTAAACTTCCTGTCAGCATCACAGTAGACCTATTTTGCGTGATCCTACCTAATTTGATTGGAAATTTGTGTTCTACTTGCGCTGTTATTAAACAACATTGCTCTTTTCAGTTTTGTGACAATCATAACATGAAACCATTTTCAAATTCTACTTTAAAACATTCAAAGTTTTTATGAAAACAGAATCAGATATAACTTTACTATATATTTTCTGCTTGGTACAAGAGAGGAGAAAGATACCAAAGGGACATTTAAACTCATAAGTCTAAAATAAACCGACAACGCCATGGCTTGGTAAGATGACATTTGACAATACAAGTACACATGTACTATCTTTCTTTGTCACATCATTGATTGATTGATTTATTGTTTGTGTTTAACATTACTTTCAGTACTCTTGGCTTTATCAAGTTTTTGTTGGTGGAGGAAGCCTGAGTACCAAGAGAGAACCACCTACCTTTTGCCGGAAAACTAGTAATCCTAGTCAATTAAGATCAGAGTCAAACACACCTTGCCACAGGAGGGGTTCAAACTCACAACCTCAGTGCTAAGTCATCACTGTAGATGCACTACTTTAACCATATGATCACCTAGACCCTGTTACATAATGGAAGTATTATACTTTAATGGTTATATTCTATATTTAATTGTTGCTTTTCAGAAGTGTAAAATAATACAGAAATTCTGGAGCACAATCTGTAATTTGAAAACAAATCAACATCCCCAAGAGTTTAAGTTCTTATCACAAATACAATATTCTTTACTGATTGTTAATCAATTCAATGGTCCATACTTCAAAAAAAAAATCAATTATACAGACTCCCTAACTTCTGATTGGACAAAAGAAAATACCATGGACTTTCGTTTATCAGACTTTAATACAAATAGGTCAACCAATGTGCAAAATCACCCAAATTGGCTTGTGTTTCATTTTCAAATAACTTCACAGATGACATGAAAACCAGACCAGTCTAGAAATTGTTGCTGAATCAAGTCAGACACATTACTTAGACTATGCAATTCAATACAAGCTGCATTATGACATCCCAACATTTGTTATCACAGAGGAATACTTATATGTATCAATTTATTTCTCTCCTTCGGAAAATCAATTTTTTGGAACAATACATAATACGTAATAGTAATACTCTTTCTGTTTTTAAAAATAATATTATAAAAAATCATATTCAATTTCATTTCACAGTTTGAAATGATTGATGATGGTGTTTTGAGTGACTACAATGACTATAAGAGTACAGTCTGATATAATTACATCAGTATGTGGGAATCAAAAGTACAATTTGTACAGAGTATTAACAACCATAACAGCAAGTAATTTTGTTTTGTTATTAAACAAAACCTGCATCATTTAATTGCATGTGTGATTTTTAAATCATGTTTGGTAAATATTAATACTGCTTCCTGGAATAATAAATACAATTTCTGATGAGGTTTTGAATTTGAATACAATCAGAATACATTTCTAGTAATGGATTGGTGATATCATCCATTTCAGTCATACATTTACACCTGGACTGGGTTGCAAAAACCGTAATTAAAGTTAAACATCATTTAAATTTTTAGCGGTAATTTATTCATTAACAAATATAAGATTGAATTAATATTCAAATTTTTTAAACATCATTAAACCTTAATTGACAATTGTGCGACCCAGTCCTGTTTATTGTATGGCTTCAATTCGTAAGGAGACTCCAATGCAACAGACTAATTATTCAAAAAGCAATAAGTCATAATCTTTTAGAATAGAAAATCATGGTCTATTGTCCCTATTTTGAAAAATGTTCTTATCTGTGAACATGTGAAAGCCTAATAGTTGTGGTAGTGCAACAACCCAACACTTCCAAGCTTACCTAAAGCATTTTTCATACTCAAAGGTTCAATGACATTATAGCATTTGGTTGAAGCAAAAATTCTAATGGGTACATCAATTTAGCAATTTTTCGTATAACCACGGGCCATAGCTTATATAACTAAAATGTGAATTGTTTAGTTGTCCACAATTTATATAATTCAGGCTATCATAATTGGGACAGACAAATAAATGTACTGAAGTACAAGAATCTTATTGTTACATTTCCTCAAACTGTTGGGGTTCATATCATTATAATTTAATGACTGTAAAATCACATTTATTCCTTAGCCCTAAATTAGAGGATTACATAGGTAAAAAGTTTTTTATATAGATTAGACCGTTGGTTTTCCCGTTTGAATGGTTTTACACTAGTAATTTTTGGGGCCCTTTATAGCTTGCTGTTCAGTGTGAGCCAAGGCTCTGTGTTGAAACTGTACTTTGACCTATAATGGTTTACTTTTATAAATTTTGACTTGGATGGAGAGTTGTCTCATTGGCACTCATACCACATTTTCTTATATCTAAAGAACTATTCTATTTTGCAAGTCAGACCAAATTACAGAATGATTCTGTACTTTATCATGTGGTTCCTGACCATATCTTATAGAATGGATGCAAGTTTATCAAATTCTCTTATTTCTTCCCGTCACATTAAATGAAAAAGATTTAAAATTTTTTACTAGTAAAAAGTTTTCTATCTAGATGGATAGACTAAATTACAAACAAAATCACCATTTAAGGTGTTTAAGACCAAATCGGTTCAGTTTAATTGGTTCCACCTGATGACCTTTAATAATTTTATTGTTATAATATCACCAGTACTTAATATAATGTCTGAGATAAGGTCAGTAATCATTCCTCAATTTACATGTATAGTGACATTTAATGACCTGTTATCTATGTCGATATGGGGACAACCCTCGTATAGATTCACTTATCTCTCCAACACTTTCACCTTAATACCCTTAAGATATAGTCCGATAGCATCAAATATTTCATACTTAAGCTATAAATTAAGGTTTGTCATGGTTCAGTTAAAGTATTAAAATTGATAGATTTTTTTTTGTTATTTGAGGAAATCCTAAAAAGATTTATCCATATCATCCAGTATTTTTTTTAGGAAATTTGTGTTCATTATTCTATTATTATCAAATTTGGCATAATATACACAATTTTCAAAGGCGCAAAATGGAAAGAGTTTTTCACAAACAAAAACAGGATTGAAATAAAATGTTGACACAGAAATATGTCTCACCTGTCAGAATAAAATTTAGAAAAAGACAATCTGATGGACAGATGAACATTGCTGATTAATTCAAAGTCACTGAACCATGAACTAGTGGGCAAGGCCTAGAAATGGTCAACAAACTAAGATGTACAGTCAGTAATGAAATGTAACTATATAGAAAATATTGTTATCGATTGTTGGTACATTGTATCAAACTAACTTAAGCAGAAAACTAAACATTGGAAATTGGTAATTAATTGAAAGTCACTGAACTATGAGGGCAGAGAGTCAAAATAGTCGTCAAACTGATATGTACTGATAGTACATGTAATACAACTTTATAGAAAATATCGTTGATCTATCACATTTAGTTCCTATCAAACAAACTTAAGCAGAAAACTTAACATTAAAACTTAACATTAAAAATTGCTTATTAATTGAAAGTCGCTGGACCATGACCTAGGGGACAGGGCCTGGAAATAGTCGTCAAATTTATAGTAATGCAACTTTATAGAAAACATCATTGACCTATCACAAGTAGTTCCCATCAAACTAACTTAAGCAGAAAACTTAACATTAAAACTTAATATTGAAAATTGCTTGTTACTTGAAAGTCTCTGGACCATGGACAAGGGAACAGGGCCTCAAAATAGTCGTCAAACTGATATAAACTGATAGTAATGCAACTTTATAGAAAATATCATTGATCTATCACAAGTAGTTCTATCAAACTAACTTTAGCAGAAAACTTAACATTGAAAATTGCTAATTAATTCAAAATCTCTGGACCATGACCTAGGGGGCAGGGTCTCAAAATAGTGGTCAAACTGATATGTACTGTTAGTAATGAAACTATAAACAAAATATCATTGATCTATCACAAGTAAGTCACAAGTAGTTCTTATCAAACTTACTGAAGCAGAAAACTTAACATTGCAAATTGCTAATTAATTCAAAATCACTGGACCATGACCTAGGGGGCAGGGCCTAAAATTATTTGTCAAACAGATATGTACTGATAGTAATACAACTTCATATAAAATATCATTGATTTATAACAAGTCTCGTTTTTATATAGATTAGACCGTTGGTTTTTCCGTTTGAATGGTTTTACACTAGTAATTTTTTGGGGCCCTTTATAGCTTGCTGTTCGGTGTGAGCCAATGCTCCGTGTTGAAGGCCGTACCTTGACCTATAATGGTTTACTTTTATAAACTGTAACTTGGATGGAGAGTTGTCTCATTGGCACTCATACCACATCTTCCTATATCTAGTTCTTATCAAACTAACTTAAGCAGAAAACTTAACAATTGTAATGACGCCCTGGGGCAGGAGCCTGAAAAGCAATCCCTATGTCTTGCAGGCCAGACAAAAACTAAAGACTGAGCAACATGAATGGTAAACTTGTAAAATGTCTAATAATAGTCTGTGTTTGCAGCAATATGTGGGGTATACATCAATGAAACAGAAACCCAACCACAAAAATAATCAATACATCTACAGTTCAACATACAGTCTTCAACAATAGATAGGTGTCTAAATAACAGAGACTAAAAAATGCTTTTTCCCTGAATGGAACAAAATGTAGAATTTTAT